AATACTTGGAAGATACTCGGAATCTAAAATTCCTTAAATATTCTTCTTATTCTAAAGTTAATATATGAGAAAAGTGAAAAGTAAAGGAATTGTTACTCTTGCAGTGGATTTCAGTGATATATCAGTGGTATCTCAGTGATATCTTAGTGATATATCAGTGATATATCAGTAATGAATCTTCAGACGTTTCATTGTTGAGTTTACCTTAGAAACAAATTCGTTTAGAAGTGAAATCAGTAAATGAGTGATGGAAACGAGAGGAAATAAAGAGAATTCAAGAATTTACAAGTAAATAACTAAGTAAGTAAGTAAGTAAGAAGAAAAAAGGAAAGTTGAAAGTTTTCTATTTTCCCAAAAATCCAGCGACATCCAGTTGATAGATTGCCGATTTTTGCGTGGAAAAGGGAATCATTTCTCGGTAAATGGCCATTCAGCGTTCTTTTCTTTCACTCTACTACTACTCTTCTTCTCTTTCTCAACAGAAAAAAAAAATGATTATCTTATCGTTTAGTTAACGTCTTTAAAATCTATCAAATTTAAAAGATTTAAAAGGTTTAAAAGGTTTAAAAGATGTTTAAAAGATGTTTAAAAGATTTAAAACTGTTTTTTTTTTTCGTTTCTAAGGTAGAAAGAAATTCGTAGAGATCACTGATTTACTTTCACTGATTTACCATCACTGATTTACCATCACTGATTTACTTTCACTGATTTACTTTCACTGATTTACTGATTTTACTTCTAAACGAACTTGTTTCAAAGGTAAACTCAACAATGAAACCTCTGAAGATTCATCACTGATATATCACTGAAATATCACTGAAATATCACTGAGATATCACTGAAATACACAAAAAAATCTATTGAAAAACGTTATTCAAAACTGTGTAAACAATTTGGGGGAATTTCTTTCGACAATCTCTTCAAATAACCATTTGAACACATTCAAATAAAAAGGTATCCAAAGAGAATTCGATCGTAAAAAAAAAGTCTCTCTTTTTCTCTTCATTGAGAATAGTTTTAGTGATTTTAGTGATCAAGAGTTGAAGAAAAATGAAAAGTATTCAAAGCAAATGATGAAAGCAAAAAAGAAAAACAGTAAAATGTATATTTACAGACATTTACAGACAACTATTGAAAATGAAAATTGGGAGAATTTTGAAAGTAGGACAGTGCAGTGGAGATTAAACGATTACCTGGGGAAACGGGGGGAGAGTTCAATGGGAAGCTCTATGGGAAGCTCTATGGGAAGCTCTATGGGGAGTCCAATGGGAAATGTAAAGCACTTGTTTACTAGATGTATAGTTGAATCAAATATTGTACAGAAGATGTTTGATGACTATATTGAAGTGTATGAAATGCTAGAAGCAGCTAGAAGCAGCTAGAAGCAGCTAGATATTTTAAGCTATAGAGCTATGGGTGAAGCTAGTCAACTTATCAGTCACTAAGGGACTTTTCATTTAAACTCGATTAGCAAAAGCAGCAAAAGAGCAAAAGAAAAATGGCTATACTTTAAAAGAAAGAAAGAAAGAAAAGGCTAAAAGGCTTTAACGCTTTCAAAAATATGTGCCAAAACTTTTCTATGTATACAGTTAGTGAAAAATTGAAAGGAAAAAAAGGGTGGAGTGCCAAAAATCGGTTAACTCCAAAAATTATCGGGCGGAAAAGAGGGGAGTTGAAGGTGAAATGGGCAGGGGAGTGGTTGAAAATGGAAACGAATTTGTGCGAGAGTGAGAGAGAGACGATTTGTGATGATTTTGTGAAGAGGCCACTTTAAAAATTCACATATTTCATAGAAAGGTATTTTGGAGAACTATAGAATGAACTATAGAATGCATGCCTTTCAATGTAAACAATCTGTCATTTATTTCCTTTCACTTTAACTAAACTATAGAAAGAAAACGATGAAAACTTGTAATTTGTTGATGGTAGCTTTACAAAGAGAAACACATTTGAGGTAAAGCTAGACTTTTAACGTCCTAAACTAGAGTAAGTCTAGCTATCAAGTTAGTTATCAAGTTAGTTAACAAGTCAGCTACCAAGTCAGCTATCAAGTCAGTTATCAAGTTAGTTATCAAGTTAGTTATCAAGTTAGTTATCAAGTCAGCTATCAAGTTAGTTATCAAGTTAGTTATCAATTCAGTTATCAAGTTAGTTAGCAAGTTAGTTAACAAGTCAGCTATCAAGTCAGCTATCAAGTTAGTTAGCAAGTAAGTTATCAAGCCAGCTATCAAATCAATCATTAAATCTTGAATCCGTAACGTCAAACTTTAACGCGAATTGAGTCAATTTCTCAACAAAAAAGCAACAAAAGAATTGAGTCACTTTCTCAACAAAAAAAGCAAAAGAAACAGAAAGCAAAGTCAAAATTTGACATGTTATGAAACAACTTAAAAAGACAAAACTTGAGAAAAGTAGTATAGAATTTTATTTTGGGTAAATTTCAATGTCAACTCTAGAATCAAGAGCTCTTTTCCCAGTTTCTCCTAAAAAAAGATCGACGAATCGACACGCTCTGGTGATCCTCTTCTCCAATTTTTCACCATTTTCTCTTTCTTCTTTTGCTTTACAATTCACAAAACTACCAAAAAATGACAAATTGCTTCTATCGCTGCACTAATTTTAGCACAATAGAGAAAAAAAAAGAAAGGCAACAGTTCTCTGTGAGTGTACTTTTGTAAATGTAACTTTATTTTCTCGAAAGCACAAGTGTAACAAAAATCCGGTACTTTTCAGCAACTAGAGCCCTTAATCGACGAAAATGATTGCAATTGCTTTAACATATAGACGACCGCGATGCCGAGTCACGCTTGGCAATCCAAAGCCGAGTCACGGCTCGACGAAATGTGCTCAAAATTTGCAAGAGCATGTAATTTTAAGTCCTCTTTCCGAATTCGACGTTATTTTTATTAGAAAATTGTGAGATTTTTTTGTAAAAGGTGAAAAAAACCGGGGGTGTTACCTTGAATTCTATGGGCCGAGTGGTCTAAGGTACGCGAGGCTCCAATTTAGAGTGTGCTCCTTTTTGACAGAAGATTGACATTGACATTGACATTGACAACTTTTTTGTCAGACAAGACTTCCGACAACGCGTTTTCTAAAAGGTGCGCTTTTTTAAGCAAAGCTATAAAGGTCGCGCGAAAAAAAAATTTGCAAACTTTTCTTAAAATGCAGTAATGGATAGTTTTATTTAAGGATTTAGGTTTTTTAGGGCGTGCAATTTTTTTTTTGGAATGGTTCTAGTGCAAATGTAGACAATAGGCCTGGTAAATTCGTAAATAATATCATTTTTTAATAGTGTTTCTTAACTTTTCCCGTTTTAAATGTTTTCTTTCATTTTATTAGGTTGATGCATAAGTGTTTTTGTTTCTTTTCGTCTGCCGTTTCAAGCCAACAAATGCACGAATTAAACTACGGTTGATTTCATTAGAAAAAGCAATTATTTTTCTGCAAAATAACATTAAAACGGGTTTAAAAATATTGAATGCCTGGATTTTCTTGAGAGTATGAAGTCGGGTAGTCAAAAAGGGCTAACTCGATGATGCGGTTTAGACACCTTAGCTAAAGAAAACCTATCTTCGTGTCAATAGATAAAAGATAGAGAAAAAAAACGTTTGATATTTCGCCAAAATTTCAGAGAAATTCATTCAGCCAATATTTCCGTAGAGTTTTTTATAGATTTTTACGAAAAAGGCGTTTTTCACTCTCGAATTTGCTTGAAAGTGAACCGAAATTCATTTAAAAAGATGCAAATTGAACAAAAAAACACTTTTTTTATAGAGCAAACTATAGATTAATTGGTGAATTTGTTACTTTTTAACAGAAGTACGAAAAAAACGAAAAGACCTATGCATCAACCTATTACATAGCATTTTAAAAGTTTTAAGTTTTAGCGAAAGCGTAATAGAGAGTCATAGAAAGAGTAATAGAAAAGAAAGAGCGCAAGATTTTAATGTACATTTGGGGAGTGGGACAAATGCGACCTTTTTTTTGCGCACCCGGACATTTGCGCACCTTGCCCATTAGCGCACCTTTTTTCGCGTTTTAAAAGAGCTCTAAAAAGCTAATATTAACCAATTTCTATTCTAAAAGTTGTTTTTCTTAGGTAATTTGAGGGCGTAGAATCGAAATTTTGACATATCAGAGCTTTTGGAAACAAACGGACGGAGTTATACAAAGAGAAAAATCGACAATTTTCTGTAATTTGATCTAGCCGTTTTGTCTTTCAAATTGTTTTTCAAATTGGTTCCACACGCTCTGATATGTCAAAATTTGAATTCGACACCCTAAAATTACCTAGAAAAACAACTTTTGGAATAGAAATTGGTTAATGTTCGCTTTTTAGAGCTTTTTTAAAACACGAAAAAAGGTGCGGAAAAAAAGGGGCGCAAATGTCCGGGTGCGCAAAAAAAAAAAGGTCGCATTTGTCCCACTCCCTACATTTGCATTTTGAAAAGTTTGCTGATGCAAAGCATAGGGTTACGGTAGCTTATCCTTGGCGCGCCCTTTTTAGAAAACGCGTTGTCTGCAAGGAACACACTCTACTCCAATTGGGGGTTGTTGAATCGACTCCCGGGGAGTGAAAACGCTTTGTAAAAAAAAAATCTTTTCTAATATTTTCGGATACTTTAATAGAGTAGCTATAAAAAATATAAAAATGAAATGTTAAAATTGAAGAAAAACTTTTGATAAAAGAGAGAATTTTCTTTAAAAAAAAGCATTTTTTAAAAGAAATTCATGTGCATTTTTTTTCGTGTCATTCGTCGAAAAAAAAGCGGCGTTTGGCAAACTTCTGCTCGGGATATTGGGTTGGGATTTGGGTAATTAAAGAACTTTTTTTTTTAAAGTAAGCAATAGTTTTTGAAGGCAATTAAGGGTTGGTTCTAAGATTGAAACAACATATTAGGCTTGATCTTTCAAAGCAAAAGTTTAATTTTCAAAGAATCCATAACAAATTAAAAACCATTCTTCAGACTTATTGCATCCCGGAAACGGGAGCATCAATGGAAGTCGTCGGTCGACAAGAAGCAAGCGCTCGTCCGCTTGCAACCATTCTTCAGACTTATTGCGTCCCGGAAACGGGAGCATCAATGGAAGTCGTCGGTCGACAAGAAGCAAGCGCTCGTCCGCTTGCAACCATTCTTCAGACTTATTGCGTCCCGGAAACGGGAGCATCAATGGAAGTCGTCGGTCGACAAGAAGCAAGCGCTCGTCCGCTTGCAACCATTCTTCAGACTTATTGCGTCCCGGAAACGGGAGCATCAATGGAAGTCGTCGGTCGACAAGAAGCAAGCGCTCGTCCGCTTGCAACCATTCTTCAGACTTATTGCGTCCCGGAAACGGGGCATCAATGGAAGTCGTCGGTCGACAAGAAGCAAGCGCTCGTCCGCTTGCAACCATTCTTCAGACTTATTGCGTCCCGGAAACGGGAGCATCAATGGAAGTCGTCGGTCGACAAAGCAAGCGCTCGTCCGCTTGCAACCATTCTTCAGACTTATTGCGTCCCGGAAACGGGAGCATCAATGGAAGTCGTCGGTCGACAAGAAACAGGCGCTCGTCCGCTTGCAACCTCCGAACATTTCATGTGAGTAATATGGTCAGATTTTAGTCGATTAAGGAAACGACTTATTCCTGCTTTTGCTAAATACTCCCATTTCAGCCTTCAACCATCCGGTGATCTCTGTTTTTGTGTCGAAGAAATCTCTCCTGGATTCACGCTCAAGGGATCACCTGTTGTGGTTGGTTTCGGAATTCACTACAGCTCAAACTATGATCATTAGAGGTGAGCCGATTTGGAAAACTAAAGACAATTGTGCCTGTAAACGTTGATAGCGTTTCAAAGAGAAAACTCGTCGGTTAACTTGGGATTTCGAGGGTCTTGAAAATCTCCGAAATGAAAATTTTTGAAGGACAAAGATTGCCACGCAATTCAACCAAATAAATCCACCATTTTGCTGTTTAGTCTCAAGACCGATGGCACTTCCAAAACACCTAAGAATCAAGACACCGCTATATTATCACAAGTTTTAGCACAAGCTAATTCCATGATCTTTATTCTGGAAATATGGAAAATCATAAACATACAACGTGCAAAAGCTAAGCCAGCGAATGAAAAAAAAAAGGATTCTGAAGGAAGATTCGGACCACAAAGCATACTTGAGAAGTTAACTATTCGAAATTAGAAAAAAAATAATGAAAACTAGGAAAGGAAAAGTTTATGGAGTTTGTTGTTTTAAATTTAAGCCTAGATTCTAGAGTCTTTTAAGATTCTAGAGTAGATTCTAGAGTCTTTTAAGGCTTTCTGTGCAAATCTCTAACTTTTGGTTATTCATTTGAATCCCTCATCTAAATGAATCGTTTCGCAAAAGATACGCGGTCGTCAATGTGTTAAAAATGAGAAAGAAATTGAAACTAAATGAGGGAATAACTGAAAACTACAATATTCTTATTCAATGATTGTTGACATCGATTGATTTCCTTTGTTTCCTTTTCTTTTCTTTTCCCTTTTCATTCGATCCATCAACGACGGCAAGAATTTTCCCTCTGATCACGCTCTTTTTCACTTTCCGCAACCTACTCTGACCGGAGTTTGTCGTCTGGCTCACGACACGATTTCTAAAAAAAGAAAGAAAGTTCTTCTTGATTAACGCAATCATCAATCTCATTCTAGGGTCTATTAAGGAAAGAGCTGAGGGTTAGTTCTATAGTAGCAGATCTATAGATCTATAGTAAAGCACTCTAGCATTCCTATAGTCCTTAAAAATGTTTCTATTGATTGGTATCACTTTTTTTCTACAAAATCAACTTATAACTTATTGTTAGTATTGTTGGTATTGTTTCTTTTTTGATTTTTTTGTTGATTTGATTGTTTTAATTTGATTGTTTTGTTGATTTGATTGTTTTAATTTGATTGTTTTGTTGATTTGATTGTTTTAATTTTGATTGTTTTGTTGATTTGATTGTTTTAATTTGATTGTTTTTGTTAATTTTGATTGTTTTAATTTGATTGTTTTGTTGATTTGATTGTTTTAATTTGATTGTTTTGTTGATTTGATTGTTTTAATTTGATTGTTTTGTTGATTTGATTGTTTTAATTTGATTGTTTTGTTGATTTGATTGTTTTAATTTGATTGTTTTGTTGATTTGATTGTTTTAATTTGATTGTTTTGTTGATTTGATTGTTTTAATTTGATTGTTTTGTTGATACTGACACCAACACTCCACACATGAATCCTCTGACTCGTCGCCGGAACTCGAAACGACAAAAATAGAAAACGAAAAAATAGCCACCTGATTGGATTCCGTAAAGAGAGTAAACAATGCCTGAAATAGATTTATAACTAGATTTTATTGAGCATTTAGCTTTAAGAAAGTCGGCTACCTTGATAGCCAACAACCTAAGCTTAAAGCAGCTTAAACAGCCTACCGTAGTAGGTGTTTAAACCATTATCTAGAAATGTAGAAATTTTCTTTAACTCTTTAACTCTTTCCCTCTTTCTCTCTTTCCCTGTTTCCTTCTTCCCCTCTTTCCTTCTTTCCCTCTTTCTCTCTTTCCCTCTTCCCCTCTTTCCCTCTTTTCCCATCTTGACTAGCTTAGCTTGAAGACTGGCTAAACAATGTAGTACTAGCTACGCAGTACAAGTCAATGACTGATTTTCTCAAAACTACTTCTAATTGTCGGATTTGATAGAATTTCGTTGATTACGGTATCTTTTGTTAGAAATGTTTTCTAGAAAAGGGTTTTAATTTACCTTGAACCAAATCAGAGAACTTAATCGATCCGAGATTATTCTCGATGAGTAAAATATTTGGTAAAGCAACGAAACAAAAAGAGATTCCATTGATCACCAAAAGAGTTCGCATATAACGCATTTCAGTTTGAGAGCATTTCTGAAAGGATTCAATAGCTAGAGACATTGTTTTATACGATAGGAATTGATGGAAATTTCACTAGATAGATTTGAAGACAGTGCTGAGTTTTGAGACATTTACTGGATCCTCAAATTGCTGGATATTGCTTTGAAAAATCGATAGCTTACTGTAGATAGCTGATAGGCTTTTCTACAGTCTTTTTTCATCAACACTTATCTACTTAGTTTCACCGAGTTTAAAGTACTCTACGGGTTACTGTACTCGAAACAAACCCTCCAAATGGTGATCACTGAGTAGACGGTGATTGAGATGATCAAACTGATCAAATACAACAAAATCGTTGTCACATTTTGCACCAAGCCATATATTGGATTGATACTAAAACAAAGAAAAAGTTATAGTTAAAAGTTTAAGTAGTACAGTGAACAGTAGAGTAAAGTAACTCGATCAAAACAAAATGGATACCGTAAATACATAGGTAACAGTACATAGATAAAAGTACATGCCGTAAATGCTGTAATAGTACCCCACCGCCCTCGTACAGTCGCGTAGTCGCTAGTCGCAAAAGTTTTTTAGTATTTCATTTTTTGCAAAGCACCCGTACTTTCAAAAAATGCGTCTTTCGTATCAAAAAATAGTCCTGAATTTCAGCTATCTTTTGATACCTAAACGAGCATTGTAGCATAAACCAGTGTCGAGAAAAACGCGTCCAAAGCTAGACTACGCAACGCTCCGCACCGTCATTATGGGACTGGGGCTACTATTACAGTATTTACGGTAAGCTATTTAACAGATAAAAGATTAACAGGAAAGATAGAGTTATTCGCTAGTCTGCTAAGCTAGCTAAAGCTTCGTTTTGGTGGACGAGTTCTGACTATGGATAGTTTATTTGAAAATGAATGGCTAGACTCTGGGCTAGATTGGGCTTAGAATCAAGTACACAAAGTAAAAACGTTTTCTAAAACGCGTTCACTTTCCAAAATTATATTTACGGTAAGTGTTTAACAAATACAGAAACCTTATAGAATACTTTATTAGTTCAGTAGCCTATCAGCCTAAATCTGATCCTCTAAATATTGCCCAATCGTTTTTAGCTTTATTTTAAGACAGTACAAGAATTTAGGGCATCTTTCAAGATTCCAGTATTGAGTTGATCATTGATTAATGATCAATGACCAGATGATCAATCATTAAATGTAGATTTTCATCTCAAACCTGGCCGTCGTGCCGCACATTCGATTTGTGTTTGTTTGCGGTGCATAAATGACAATCAATGAAGCGCTTAGGATCATGATCTAAGCAAAAAAAAACTTAGATGTTTTAACCCAAAAAAAAACAAATCTACCAATGGATAGAAAAAACCAAGGAAAATCACTAGAGATTTGTGCTGATTACGACGAAATTCGGTTAAACATGAAACGGCGAAGAGACGCTCGATTGATAACAGAAATGTCATCGAGGCTGGATACGTTTCTGGAAGAGAAATCATGAAGTCAGTCTACTTTAAAGTATCAAAACTTTCCATAAAACTCATCTTATGCTTAGTTTTTTATATCGTTGAATAGAGAAGATTTCAAGCTTTCAGAAGATTTCAGAAATTGCTTGAGTTGATTTAGAAATTTAGAAATTATCGGAAAAATTGATGGCAAAGTTTAGGCATTGCTCTTTTGTACCTCCAATGATCATTAAAATTGGCCAAACCATCCCAAAAAGGCATTCATTTGATTGAATTGGCGTGTTCATTGTGCCAGATGACAATTGCGTGTATCGACCCAAACCAGCTGTCAAGAAATTAGCACCATTTAACTGAAGGGAGTTTCTCTTTTTCTGGATTTCTGGATTCGTTTCTCCTTACAAGTTCAGCGAAACACAAAATCTCGTAGAGAATGAAACGCTTTCGGTACTCTTTATCGGTGGCGTAGACGAGAATTGTGAACGAGTTGAGAATGATGACTGAATGAATATTCGTGCTTGATTTGGGCATTAATCTAACTGGATTAGGATTTAGCATAGTAGGCTTGGCCTGGCTTGGCTTGGCCATTGATCAAAGGCTTGGCCATTCATCTGTTACCCAGTTTTCAGACTGATAGCTCAGCTTCAAGCTCAGCTAGCTTAGCTTCAAGCTCAGCTAGCTTAGACTAGCTGAGCTCGGCTAAACAATGTAGTACTAGCAATGTAGTACAATGTAGTACAAGTCAATGCCTGTTTTCTGCTTTATTTCTACTATCCAATCAGCTTTCCAGAGCTGGTGGAGTGGTAGAGACAAGGGAAATAACAAGAGCTGTGATCACTAGACTATTCTCTTCACTAGTAGATGTCAAAACATAATCGTCACTCACCAATTCCACCAATAATCGAGTACAATGTGAAACGAGTGGATAACTGAAGACTTTCATCATCCATTTAAGGGAATTTTGAGATCAATAGATTTAAAAATGACATTTATTTGAGGAAAATCTTTTGGTCAACAAAAATATTAAATGAATTGAGTCGACGGTTAACAAAAAAAATGTAATTGGGTTTGGGAAAATCGAGAAAAAAAAAGGGAAACAATTGCGTAGACACAAAAAAAATGTTAAAAATTGCTTTTTCTAATGAAGTTTTTGAGGGGTACTGTATCTAAAAATTACTCCAATTACTGTAATCTTTATTTTCTATCTAGTCTATCAACTTTTATATCTTTAAATATCCTTTATAAACTCCATAATTAGATAAATGAATAGATTACACATAAAGCAAGATTGATTAATCTAGGTAAACCTGGAACTCCAAGATTACGATAAATGAGTCTCTAGTAAAAGGTAAATCTTTCTTTTGTCTTTAGCAGTGAACTCCATTAGCCGGTTCAGTTACCCAATTGCTTTCTAGTTCTACTTTCCAGTTCTACTCTCTAGTTCTACTCTCTAGTTCTACTCTCTAGTTCTACTTTCCAGATTTAGTCCCAGGAATTTGTGCCCTGGGATTTTCGGGGTCAATGGATCGATTGGTAGGTTTTATTTTAAGCTTTAATCAATGAAAAGTCCTCTAAAGTCATGATAATCAGATTCTCTGATTACTATTCCTTTTTATTGATTGGCTTGAAGTTTATCGTTTTTTCTTTAACTTATTTTCTCAAAGGAGTTCTTTTCAAAAAAGCTACTCTACATCTGGGAATTAAAGTTTAAATTAAAAGTTTCTTTATTAATAAGTATTAAATGTATCAAATATTTGAATATTTGAATATTTTATATAAATAATCTTTAGGGATTAGTTTGATTGATTGATTTGATTGATTGATTTGATTGATTGATTTGATTGATTGATTTGATTGATTGATTGATTTGATTGATTGATTTGATTGATTGATTGATTTGATTGATTGATTTGATTGATTGATTGATTTGATTTGATTGATTGATTTGATTTGATTGATTGATTGATTTGATTTGATTGATTGATTTGATTTGATTGATTGATTGATTTGATTGATTGATTTGATTGATTGATTTGATTGATTGATTTGATTGATTGATTGATTTGATTGATTGATTTGATTGATTGATTGATTTGATTGATTGATTTGATTGATTGATTGATTTGATTGATTGATTTGATTGATTGATTGATTTGATTGATTGATTTGATTGATTGATTTGATTGATTGATTGATTTGATTGATTGATTTGATTGATTGATTGATTTGATTGATTGATTTGATTGATTGATTTGATTGATTGATTTGATTTGATTGATTGATTGATTTGATTGATTGATTTGATTGATTGATTTGATTGATTGATTTGATTGATTGATTGATTTGATTGATTGTTTGATTGATTGATTTGATTGATTGATTTGTTGATTGTTGATTTGATTGTTGTTTGATTGATTGTTTGATTGATTGATTGATTTGATTGATTGTTTGATTGTTGTTGATTGTTGATTGTTTGTTGATTGTTTGATTGATTGATTTGTTGTTGTTGATTTGTTGTTGATTTGTTGTTGATTTGATTGTTGTTGATTTGATTGATTGATTTGATTGATTGATTGATTTGATTTGATTGATTGATTTGATTTGATTGATTGAGTTTAGCGTTTAATTGATCTCTAGTAACAATTCGTTAAAGTTTATGGAGACTAATTGACTCAAAGAATCTTTAAAAAATGGTATTAGTGTTGCTTTTTCTAAAAAAGATTTCAAAGTACAGTTGTTTTTTGGAATGAAAGGAATCAAAAAGAAATGTTTTCATTGTTTAGAATAACGTTTTATATAGCTTACGATCGGCTGGGACGAAATTCATTTTCTTTTCATTTCATTTTCTAGAGTTTTCCTCTATATTTCTTTATAAAGAGTCTTTTTAAACGAATCTTTTCTTGAGAATTCAAAGTTTCAAACGAAATCTCTGCATATAGCTTGTCTTTTCCAGTCCTGAATTGACTGAGATTCGACGTGTCATCTTCCCTTTCCTTTCTTCGTCTTCTCGCTAATCCCCTTCTCTTATCAATTTCCATCTTTCAACCCTTTTTTTCTATTTTTGTGTAACAATGAATCAATTATTTATCAAAATTAATCAAAATCTCGTTTATTCCACTGAACTGAACTGAACATCATCTCGATTTCTCATGAAGACAAAGGTTTAAATGCAATCATACTTTAAACGATCATAACTTTCGCCAGAAATTCTATCATTCTTAGCCTTTTCTATCGTTGAATAGAGGAGATTTCAGGCTTTTCAATGATACCAGAAATTGCCTGATTGGACTAGCCATTTCTGAGATCGAGAGACAAAATGATCAAGTCATTTTCTCTCAGTTTGCTGACTAGTCACCGTTTTTTTGAAACGAATATATTACTGCTAAAGCTTAAAATAATCATTAATCGATTCGCTGACCTCGAAAACCCTTCCTTTCTCAAACATTGTCAAAGTGAAATCTTTGCTAAAAGTGTGGTCACGTAATTACTTGTCACAAAGACAAAGAGAGCGATTGAGTTCTACTTCTAGACAAAGAAATCGATTGAATTCTACTTCTAGACAAAGAAAGCGATTGATTTCTACTATTGTCAATAAGAAATACAAGAAAGAAAGATATTTAAATGAATGTTTCACCCTTTTCAGTGGCATCGATCTCATCAATTCTTCATCGCTTTTTTTCTCGTTTTCTCTATTCTCATCTTTCTTAAATTCAATCAAAAAAAAGAAATGAATGATCCAATCAATTATCCAATCAATTATCGTTTAGAAGTGAATAAGAATCGAAGCAATTGTTTAAATTTTGATAGTGGTAAGTGCTGGAGTTAAACCAAACAAGGGTTCAAAGGTTTTCTCTGACTTTTCCCTTAAACACATCTGATTTCAGACTAACGATGGCCCAAAAAAGCTTCAACTTTTCCAGGAACTCTGGTCAACGATGAGCAAATCTTTCTGCTAACGCTTCCCGACGGGAAATTTCTGGCGATCTCCTCGAAACGAGCACATCTCGACAAAGGTAGTAAAACGGTAGACTCTCTGATGCACACTGCACAAGTAAAGATTGAATTGGAAAAGAATTGCAGTCTATCAACTTTTAGATCTTTAAATATCCTTTATAAACTCCATAATTAGATAAATGAATAGATTACACATAAAGCAAGATCACGGTAATCTAGGTAAGCCTAGAACTCCAAGATTACGGTAAATGAGTCTCTAGTAAAAGGTAAATCTTACTTTTGTCTTTAGCAGTGAACTCCATTAGCCGGTTCAGTTACCCAATTGCTTTCTAGTTCTACTCTCTAGTTCTACTCTCTAGTTCTACTCTCTAGTTCTACTCTCTAGTTCTACTCTCTAGTTCTACTCTCTAGTTCTACTTTCTAGTTCTCCTTTCTAGTTCTACTCTCCAGTTCTACTCTCCAGTTCTACTCTCCAGTTCTACTCTCTCTCCACTCTCTTTCTAGTTCTACTTTTAAAATCACAAATGCTTTTGATCATTCGAAAAGCTTTCTTTCACTTCTAATCTAATAATTGCATTGGATTGAATTGGAAAAGAAAAGAATTGCAGCGACTCTACCATCCTCGTTCCTTCATTTTCCACATCTTATCTTTAAAAATGAAGAAAAAAAGGATTTTCTCGAGTTCGACTTTCAAAATCGTACTCGAATAATGCCAAAGTTAGTTAAAATTTTCTTTTTAATCTTTCTTTTTTTACATTTTCTTAATTAGATTCCTTTTTTCATCAAAAACTAATGTGAAATCTGTTATTGTGGAGCTCGAAAATCACCATGAAATCGCAAAATTTTGGCGTTATTCCAGAAAAATCGAATGCAAAAATATCGGTAAGATTATTTCAATTAAAAAAAGGCTTTTTTTTTTTGCTTTTCTAGTGATAAATCGAGGTGGACCGACTATGGAAACAATTCAGATTTCTGAGTTTTTCTTTAAACTTTCTTGGAAATTTCAATCATAACAATTTAGAAATAAGAATTCGTCTTTCATTTCGACAAAGGAGACTTTTCTGGAGCGAATGCGCAGAATCGGTAAGCAAATTCACAAAGAAAATGCGAAAATTTAGACAAAAGCAAGCCAGCTTAAAGACATTTTTCATCCATTTCTTTCATTGCTCACTTGCTGAGCCGAGTTCATTCTAGTTTTTACAGAAAATCAACTGTTTAATGTACTACAGTTGAAAAATAATCGTACTAAATCTTTACAGTACTTTTAAGACAAATTATTTCTTTATTTCTTTCTTTTTCAGTCACTGAAAAGCCGAAGAAAGATTGGGGTGATTGGAGGCGGAAAATCCCGTTGGAAGCTTTTGGAGAAATTGTTCATTTAAGAGATCTCATCATCACTCATAATATGACACCTTTTCTTTTCTTTGGATCACTTTTAGGTAAGTGTTTGCTTTGGATATGATTCTTCAATAATAAACAATCCAATAAAACATTATTCAGGTTGGTACCGCGAGTGCTCCATCATCACCCATACCCAAGATTTCGATTTTGGCATCAGGTAAGGGCATCAATGTCAGCTTCTATCAGCTTCTATCAGCTTCTGTCGGCTTCTATCAGCTTCTATCAGCTTCTCTCAGCTTCTATCAGCTTCTGTCGGCTTCTATCAGCTTCTATCAGCTTCTCTCAGCTTCTGTCAGCTTCTATCAGCTTCTCTCAGCTTCTGTAAGCTTCATTAATGGTAAACCTGGGCAAGATCCATTATCTAGATCAAGCCTAGACCTAACTTGAAACCATTTAACAGCTCGAACCTTAGTTAAGCTAGCTTAGAGTCAAGGCAATGGTTGGACTTGGGTCTGGTCAAGCCTAGGCTTGACCTTGATCTACAATCGCAGATCGAGCTCTAATTTCCAGAGTGATTGAGATGAATGAAAACTTTCTAAAGGCAATAGAAACGATTGAGGCACCTTTCTGGGCAGAGAGACGATTGGGATTGGTTTGATGTTGTTGTTTTCATTTATGATAATCAAATCTTTAGCGAAACGAGTCTCTCGAGTACACAGTGAAAAGTCTGAAATATCATTTCCCGGTCGACATCTTTTTCCTCTATGACACCGATAATTTCACGTATGCAGCCGGTCAATCCCCTGGACTCACCTCCTATCGATTCAGCTGGCCAAAGTTTCTTTTAAACTATAAGTTTTCCATTAAGATTACGATAGTTTTAAGCCTATAAGTTAGGCTTAAGTCTGGAAAATCCTTTACAGAATTACAACAACTCTGAATCAGAGATCAAGCTTATCGAGCTTTGGTTTAATTGAAATATTGTACAAGAAATATTGTACAAATTGTACTACGTACTGTACAAATTGTACTATGTACTGTATAGTACTTTTAGACAATACAAAATCATTTGAAATTTAAGAATTGTTGATGACGAGATTTGTGCCGGCGAGTTGTTCAATCATTTCTTCTATGTGCCTTGTGAAATTGATAGGCACATTGTTGTAAGTTCTTTTGCTTGATTTTAGTTCAATTTTTAGTTGAATAGCTTAAGATTTCTATTTGTAATCGACATTTTACAGCATGAATTCGGTGCCGAATGGAAAAAAGATCGACCATCTCGTCATTTCTCATGGAGTAGTGGGGCGAAGAATTCGAAAATCCACAAGCGCTACCCGAAATTCATGCGGAAACAAGTCGAGAAATTCTATTGAATTCTATTTTATAAGCTTTGTAAGCTTTATAAGCTTTTATAAGCTTTATAAGCTTTTATAAGCTTTATAAGCTTTGTAAGCTTTATAAGCTTTTATAAGCTTTATAAGCTTTTATAAGCTTTTATAAGCTTTATAAGCTTTTTAAGCTTTATAAGCTTTTATAAGCTTTATAAGCTTTATAACTCTTTAAATTGTTGTTCTTTACGGGTAAAAGATAAAGGTTTATGAAGAATTTGAAGAATTTGGAGGATTTGGAGAATGACTGAATTTAGAGAATTTGGAGAATAACTGAATTTGACAATCAGTGAATGGAAAAGGCAATTCTTTGAAGTGGTTTCAAGTTTCTCGAGTACCAAACTTCACAAAAAAACCAAAAAAACCCCCAGCAACTAAAAGTTTCGATTTTTTTTTTTGGCTAAAAGATAATTTTCTTTTCTTGAGTCTAAGAATTTCCTTTATGGAAATTTTTCGATTTTAAGCATCATTAATCGGTTTTATTTTGAAATTTTAAATGAAAAACGGGTTTTTTTAAGATTTCGACTGTTTCTAGAAACATTGTAGTCCAAAAACATTGTGCCAATTTTGTAAAAATCAAATTTCCTTTTCGTTTGCTTGAATGAAAACATGAATAACATCTTTTTCAATCTTTTTTCCATCATTTTCCATCATTTGTTTTTGTTCAATTGAATGCAAAAAGTCAGGAAAAATGTCATCAAATCACGTGCTTCATCGGAAATTCTTCAATATTGAAAACGCATGTTTTCTGGCGCACAGAAAAGAGAGTGTTCAGTGCGCCAAAGCTGTACACCAGTGGATCAAAATAATTAAAATAAATTATTGACAAGCTATAAATTTTATGAAATAATCTTTCATTGTGCATTCCAGATCGGCCATTAGATAGATTATAAGTGCCAGAAGGGGCGCGTTTACCTGGAAGCAGTACACCGGTGAACCCTCACAATGAAAGGACCAAAACAAAATATTGACAAGCTATAAATTTTATGAAATAATCTTCCATCCTGCATTCCAGATCGACCATTTCATAAATTGTTTCCATCATAACTCTTTGAATTCCTTGTTTTTCAACGCTGAACATCAAAAGTCCGCCAAAAATTTCTCATCAAAGCCACGAGGAGTGAAAAAGAAAGAAAAGAAAAACCAACAAAACATTGGCAATGAAATGAGGAAAGCCTCAAATGGATCTAAAGGGGTAAAAATGAAAAGAAAAAAGGGTAAAAAGATAAAAGAAAGTTTTTCCATCTCATTCTTGGACGTCACTCTATCCATTGCATCTCTCTTCTTCCTCTCCCCCTTTTTTTTCTTTTCATTACATTCTTTTTTTTCATCTAATGCATTCCCTCTAGGAAATATTCAAAAAAAGCATTACTTTTTCCAATATTTTTATTATTTTTTACATTTACATCGATTTTATTCTCGATTTTCTCTTGATATCTAAAGTTTTTTCAATTTTTCGTCAGCTGATCAAAACAACGATCGATCACTGACCAAAACAACGCCATGTCCAAACAGCGCCGATCAACATAATGAGCTTGTAATTAAGTTGCTTTATTTTTTTTTATTTTCATTAGATGAGGAAAAAAAAATTTAGCTATTTGCTGAATTTTTTAGAACAAACAAATCGAAAAACGAAAAAATGCATCAAGAATTGAGCTTTTCTCGACACGAATTCTGTTTTAAGTGATTCTAAAGTGTGCAAAATGTGGATAGTTTCTATTCTGCATTCAATAAGAATCGAAAACACAAAGAAACTTAAGCGCAGAGGGGCTATTTTTGAGGTGGCGTTCACATTCGCACTATTTTGTTTTGATCGGCTATTTTGATCAGCTTCAAATTTTTGTGTATTCTTGAAAGCACAAATGAAAGCTAACTTATTTTTAAATAGATTTTATCGTTTCTCCAATTTTCCTCTTCACGAATTTGTTTCTGATTTGTAAATTTTCCTTTGTGGCGAATAACCACTAAAGTTACCTAACTCTGACAGCCTAAAAATTGGAAAAGTATTGCGGAAATGCCGTGCGTCTTCATCCTATTTCTCGCCCCAAATCATTTATTGTTTTATAGCTTGTTAGCTGAATATCTTAACTGCCTTATATAGCTAAAGCCTATACAACGAAATTGTTGTTCATTTGATGCGTTTTTTTACTTTTTTCTACTTTCCTTTCATTGCGTCCTAATTACGGACGAAATTGTTTTGTGTTTTTATCGTCGCTTTTAATTCAATTGTCGATTTTGTGTGAAAATTGCTCAAGCTTAAGCCCAAGAAATTCCGAGTCAGTCGGCTATTGAATAAAGTGTCTTAGTTCAAGTGGAGATCAGATATCTCAGAAACAAGAAATAACGTGTCTCTGAGTGAAGAGTACCAAGCACGCAAAGAATCTTTTTTTACATCCTTTTCTTAAACGAATCATACAAATTTTCCAGCAAAATCCTTTGTTTTCTTCGAATTTTACGTCAAATTATATGATTTTTTCAGAAATTTCGAAAAATTCTTTGATTACTATGGGAATTTTTTTGGCGTTCAACTTTGATCTTCAGCTTTTATGTGATTTGATTTGAAGTATTTAGATGAGGGAATTGTAAAGATCAACCATAGATAACAAGAAGAAACTGTAAATCTTTTCATCTCTCAAAAGGTTCGACCTTTTTGCAAAAAGCTCAGTGAATGTATCCGGTTTTGGGAGCTTCTAAGAAGTTTTTAAAACTTTTCTAAACCTTTTTAAAGCTTTTTAAAGTCTTTTAAAACCTTTTAAAACCTTTTTAAAGTCTTTTAAAACCTTTTAAAACCTTTTTAAAGTCTTTTAAAGTCTTTTAAAGTCTTTTAAACCTTTTAAAACCTTTTAAAACCTTTTTAAAGTCTTTTAAAGTCTTTTAAACCTTTTTAAAGTCTTTTAAAACCTTTTTAAAGTCTTTTAAAACCTTTTAAAACCTTTTAAAACCTTTTTAAAGTCTTTTAAAACCTTTTAAAACCTTTTTAAAGTCTTTTAAAACCTTTTAAAACCTTTTAAAACCTTTTTAAAGTCTTTTAAAACCTTTTAAAACCTTTTTAAAGTCTTTTAAAACCTTTTAAACCTTTTTAAAGTCTTTTAAAACCTTTTAAAACCTTTTTAAAGTCTTTTAAAACCTTTTAAAACCTTTTAAAACCTTTTTAAAGTCTTTTAAAACCTTTTAAAACCTTTTTTAAAGTCTTTTAAAACCTTTTTAAAACCTTTTTAAAGTCTTTTAAAACCTTTTTAAAACCTTTTAAAACCTTTTTAAAGTCTTTTAAAACCTTTTAAAACCTTTTTAAAGTCTTTTAAAACCTTTTAAAACCTTTTTAAAGTCTTTTAAAACCTTTTAAAACCTTTTTAAAGTCTTTTAAAACCTTTTAAAACCTTTTAAAACCTTTTTAAAGTCTTTTAAAACCTTTTAAAACCTTTTTAAAGTCTTTTAAAACCTTTTAAAACCTTTTAAAACCTTTTTAAAGTCTTTTAAAACCTTTTAAAACCTTTTTAAAGTCTTTTAAAACCTTTTAAAACCTTTTAAAACCTTTTTAAAGTCTTTTAAAACCTTTTAAAACCTTTTTAAAGTCTTTTAAAACCTTTTTAAAACCTTTTTAAAGTCTTTTAAAACCTTTTTAAAACCTTTTTAAAGTCTTTTAAAACCTTTTAAAACCTTTTAAAACCTTTTTAAAGTCTTTTAAAACCTTTTAAAACCTTTTTAAAGTCTTTTAAAACCTTTTAAAACCTTTTTAAAGTCTTTTAAAACCTTTTAAAACCTTTTAAAACCTTTTTAAAGTCTTTTAAACCTTTTAAAACCTTTTTAAAGTCTTTTTAAAACCTTTTAAAACCTTTTTAAAGTCTTTTTAAAACCTTTTAAAACCTTTTTAAAACCTTTTTAAAGTCTTTTAAAACCTTTTAAAACCTTTTTAAAGTCTTTTAAAACCTTTTAAAACCTTTTTTAAAGTCTTTTAAAACCTTTTAAAACCTTTTAAAACCTTTTTAAAGTCTTTTAAAACCTTTTAAAACCTTTTTAAAGTCTTTTAAAACCTTTTAAAACCTTTTTAAAGTCTTTTAAAACCTTTTAAAACCTTTTTAAAGTCTTTTAAAACCTTTTAAAACCTTTTAAAACCTTTTTAAAGTCTTTTAAAACCTTTTAAAACCTTTTTAAAGTCTTTTAAAACCTTTTAAAACCTTTTTAAAGTCTTTTAAAACCTTTTAAAACCTTTTTAAAGTCTTTTAAAACCTTTTAAAACCTTTTAAAACCTTTTTAAAGTCTTTTAAAACCTTTTAAAACCTTTTTAAAGTCTTTTAAAACCTTTTAAAACCTTTTAAAACCTTTTTAAAGTCTTTTAAAACCTTTTAAAACCTTTTTAAAAGCTTTTAAAAGCCCACTTTTTACAGAATACTTTGGGAAAAAAAAGCCTTTATAGATATTGCCAGTAAATTTTTGTCATCATTTGGCTTGAGATTTGTTTGTTTGTTTACTTTAGATCCAGTAATGATCCAGTTGATCACTTGATCCAGTAATTACATTAGTTTCACCAGTTTTTCGCATCATTCGATCAAGAATCATAAGCCAATCATAAGCCAAAGTAGTTAAACTAGTTTTTTAATCGATTTTCAATGAGATTTTCAAAAGAAACTTTTACTTTTATCAACTTACAACCAGAATTCAATCTATAACATCAAAGATTGAATCGAAATTGAAAATTTACAAGCCAACCCTTTTACCAAGAGTCCAAAAATGATACCCAATCTATTCTTATTATTGAAAATATTCTTTGATTACTTCGTATTTGTTTGTTTATTTGTTCAATAACTGATTCATTTCCTTTTTCCCTTTCTTCTTTCTTCTTTCTCCTCTTCTTCCCTTTCTTCTTTCTCCTCTCCTTCCTTTTCTTCTTTCTCCTCTTCTTCCTTTCTCCTCTTCTTCCTTTTCTTCTTTCTCCCCTTCTTCCCTTTCTTCTTTCTCCTCTTCTTCTTTCTCCTCTTCTTCCCTTTCAACCCATATCGATGTCATTTTTCTCATTCTTTTTATCTCTTTTCCTTTATATTCCTTCTTGTAATCAAATTTCATTTCTCTTTTTCCTTTTATTTATTAAAGTAGACTAGGAGAAGACTCAGTAGTCTCAGTAGTATATTTTCTGTTTATGAATTGTTATTGTTGAATTGTTTTTGTATGTATTGTATTTGTATTTATATTGTATGAATTGTATAAAGTCATAGGTAACTTCAACTTTAAATCTTTAATATTTAAATAGAAATGTGGTCTAGTCTTTTTTTTTAAAACTTTAAGAAGAAATTCTGAAATTTAAATTCATTTATTAATTAGATATACAAATGAAACGTGGCTCATTCTCTGGCTTAGAGTTACGATTGTTGGAAGAATCAACTAAATGGTTTTGCTTGATCACTTGGATCTTTAAGAAATTGAAATTCAAGAAACTTTTCTAAAGTAAAGCTTGATCAAACTTTAGGTGTAAAGAAGTTGAATTAAAAGATGAATAAGATATAAGATGAATTAAAAGATGCTAAAGATTCTGTTGTTTTGAAAATCCTAAAACTTTTCTAGCTAATGAACTTTCAGCTAATGAACTTTCAGCACGTTTGATCTCTTTTCTTTATTGAATTGAAACGTTGAAAAGATCTCGATTACTCGAAGTCAAAGTCGCATTCTCTAGACACAAAATACGATTCTTATAAATAAGAAAATTTGATTATTTGATTATGTTTGTCTGTACCAGGATCTTTATATCATTTCAATCCCCTGGGGGTCAACAGCTTCATTTTTTTTTCTACTTTTTTCTACTTTTTCTTTCTTTTTAATAAAAGACCTTGATTTTAACATATTGTACTATTTAGAAATCTTTAAATCGAAAACTTGGCTGTACTAGACTCATTGCTGCTACCTGGGATAAGTAGAAGAACTAAAATTTGCCTCAAGTCTTGTATTAGATTGAGTTGGATGAAAATCCACTTTCTGGAACAATCCGAATTCCGGTTCTAGCCTGTAGCGATCAAATTTTGAAGGAATTTTCTTTTTTGATTCGGTTTTTGACTTGAGTTTTGGGGTTAGCTTGCTCAAGAATCGTGTCTAAGTCAAAGCCAATGCAAAACTTTGAGCCTTTTCCTCATTTCATTGCTAATGTTTTGTTGATTTGGAGAAATTTCCGCGGACTTTCGATGTTCAGCGTTGAAAAACAAGGAATTCAAAGAGTTATGATGAAAATAATTTATGAAATGGTCGATCTGGAATGCACGATGGAAGATTATTTCATAAAATTTGTAGCTTGTCAATATTTTGTTTTGGTCCTTTCATTGTGAGGGTTCACTGGTGTACTGTTCCCAGGTGAACACGCCCCTTCTGGCACCTATAATCTATCTAATGGTCGATCTGGAATGCACGATGGAAGATTATTTCATAAAATTTGTAGCTTGTCAATATTTTATTTTGGTCCTTTCATTGTGAGGGTTCACTGGTGTACTGTTCCCAGGTGAACACGCCCCTTCTGGCACCTATAATCTATCTAATGGTCGATCTGGAATGCACGATGGAAGATTATTTCATAAAATTTGTAGCTTGTCAATATTTTATTTTAGTCATTTTGGTCATGTACTTGTGCTTACAGCTAAACGCGCTCCTTCTGGCTTTTCGCTTTTTCGTTTATTCCTGTATCTAATAAAAGTTTAAAATAGTTTTTAGATGTTCTTGTTAGTTTTTTTCATGTTACATGAGTTATTCAGATATAAATCTCGATGGAAATCACTTCCCAACTCGAGGTGCGTTTCCTTCTCTATGGCTCAATCGGTATTCTCGTGATTCTCTGTAATCTTCTTTGCTTAATCGTCTTTTTGTCAAGAGCTGATTATCGACAACGATTTCAGTTATATATTTTTCTATGCTTAGCTGAAATGGTAAGCCTATTTACAGTACTGGACAATGAAATGTGATATTTGAAAAACGATCGTCACTTTCGTTAATTTTTTGCGTAGATTCCAAAAATCTTAGTTTCAGAGCGATTCCAGCACTCTATCATAAAGAAAAACAGCTTTGAAAGCTTTGAAAAGCAACAATTTTGAGCATCCCATCTTGTGCGCACTGAAATGCGTCAAAAATACCATATTTCTAAATATTAATATTACCATTGTGTAGCCCTTGAAAAAAGCTTTCAGAAAATGTAGAACACTATTAGTTTAAACTCAAAGACAAGGGAGTTACAGACGCGCGAAAGTGACGATCGTTTTTCAAATGTCATATTTCATTGTCCAGTACTGTATATAGAAATATGTAAAGAAATATGTAAAGAAATTTAGTTAATTTAGTTGAATGGTATCTCCCTTGTTGCTTGTGGTTTTGGCCGAGAATGGGTGCTACGGAAAGAAGATTTCTTTGAACAAATCACTTCTTTCGATTGTATGTTCAAAATGCCGTGGCCAATTTTGATGTTGCTGGCTGGTGAGTGCTTTGGAGGAAGCTTTGGAGGAAGCTTTGGAGGAAGCTTTGGAGGAAGCTAAAGCTTTAACCTTTCGTTGACGAATGAACTGGTTTCCTTTCCGGCAATCAAATCGATTTCTTTGCATTGCAGGCATTTTCCCAGCCTCAGCCAACTTCATCATCTCCCTCGAGCGTTTCTTTGCCGTCTATTTCTGTAATTCATATCGCTCATGGAAAAATCATAAACAATTTATGCTTTTTGGAGCTACTGTTTACTCATTGGTGATTAGATTGACTCTAATATTGAAATCTTTAGATCTTTAGTTAATCTTCTCCATTGCCATGTCTACAGTTTTTTTCTTCCCAATTACAAATCCAGATAAAATGTGTGTTGTGACAAATAGGTAAGTTAAAAGAACGATTTCCCTCTTAAAAATTAATTCTCTTAGTGTTGGTATCGTGTACGCGACTTTCCATTATACAATCTGTTCTTTCACTTATTTTGTCAGCTTTATTGTAGTGGTTTATGTTTGGATAGCGGTGAGGAAGCATCGAGTGAGTTCAGAGAAATGTTCAGAGAAATGCCTAATGCCATGTAAAATTGTTACAACAAATCATTTCTTTTAGACAATGGGAAAACATGAGCAAAGAATGCAGCACACATCTGTTGGTATCACTTTAACGAGTGTCATCTTCACCGTCATCCCGAATTGTGTGGTCTTGATGGACGCTTGGCATCAACCAAAAATGTCCGAGCTCATTGTTGGTAAGCGATTTTGAATCACGATTGAATAAAAGATAATACAATATATTGTTAGAGGGTTTAAATGGAAATTGGGAAATTCAGAGAATTCAGAGAATTCAAACAATTCAGGCAATTCAAACAATTCAACAATTCAGACAATCCAGACAATCCAGACAATTCAATCAATTCAAACAATTCAAACAATTCAGACAATTCAGACAATCGTAAACCGTTCCAGGAATCGCCTACTGTTTCTACGGTCTTCAATCGTGTCTTTGCCTTGTCGTTTTCATCGCTTTCCGTCCCGAGTTCAACGCTCGACTAAAAGCATTGATCTTTTGTGGAATTCATCGAACGGTTTGTACAACAGTTGTCTTCATCATTCCCCATTTCTAGCATGCTCATCACAATTCGTGGAGTCGAGCCTCAAATGCTCGTCTTGTTCGACCCAGAGACCATCAACAACAAATCGTCGCCAAAGCCGAAGAGAATTTAAATCTTTAAATTTTTACATAAAGATCATTGAGCATTGTATTATTCTAGATATATTCTTAAAGATTTCACAGCAAACATTTCACAGCAACACAAAAGCGACCAGCAAGCGAACTGAAAGAAAATGACTTGAGAAAGTTGTCTCTCGATCTCAGGATTGGCTAGTCCAATCAGGCAATTTATGGTATCTTTCAAAAGCCTAAAATCTCCTCTATTCAACGAAGGCTAAGAATAATATAATGAACAGAGTTATGGCCTTTCAAAGCCGAAAGCTTCATGTTTCCCTGAACCCTCTCATTCTCCTCGATGTACAAAATCCTATATTTTTTTTTTAAAAACAAAATAGTTGTTGTGGTTTGATGGAAATGATTTTGTGCATTCCAGGAAACACTTTTCAGCACTTTATTCGCAAGAAATATACAAGCACAGAGTTTAAACGGTGTCGAAGTCGAATCGGCGCGGAAGAAGAGTGAGCAAATTCGGGGATGTACATAAATATAAACACATAAATACAGATGACGGGCAGTTTTCATGTAGTCTAGATGGAGATTGAAAAGGAATAGAAACATAAGGACTTTTTTAAGAAAAGAAATAGACCCGTTGTGACAAAAAAATTGTGGAAAAAAATAAGCAAAGAAATTACAGAAAAAAAAAAGCTAAACGAAGCTAAAAAATGAGCTAGCTTTGGATAGAATTTTATCTAAAAATTCTACAAATCTTTTATCCAATAGTTTTTTTAAAGTTCTTGCTGCTTTTAACTAGTCATTGCTCTCTTGGTACACGTAATTTCAAAGGAACATAGCAAAGGAATGGATTGTTTCAAGTTTTAGAGAAGATTTAGAGAAGATTTAGAGAAGATATCATTTAAATATAAACTTATTTAGTCATCCTCTTCAATCTGTGGAACCATTGAAAGATTATCGATCGACGAGGCGATCATCAACTCGCCAGTGTCAATCATCCCGGAGGAGTGAGGGTGAAGCTGGAAATTTGATGTAGAGATTGAGAACAATGATCAATCCTCACTTGTTGTATTTCTTCGGGAATCGAGTAGAGCGTTGAAGAAATGTAAGAGCGAGAGATAGAGATCCGACGTTGCGCAATCTGGAAAGCAGCATTGTCTTTCATTTTGTCAGTTTTATCAAAAACTATTCTTTGAGCTAATCCATACGGGTTTTTCTAGATTCCCGGACCAGCTAGAGACCAGGCTAGCTAGAAGCCAGGCTAGCTAGAAGCCAGGCCAGCTAGAAGCCAGGCTAGCTAGAAGCCAGGCCAGCTAGAAGCCAGGCCAGCTAGAAGCCAGGCTAGCTAGGACGTCCTGTTTGATGTTAATTCATGAAAACATGGGACTGCGTACTTTGTGCTTGAAAATCGTGTAAACACACGCTTTCTAGTGCACCGAATAGGGTGTGTTTGCCTAATCTGGATGTCACATAACACAATGGAGGCAAAAAGTCACGGCTAGACTTAGATCTAGGCTGCATATGTACTTTGTGCTCGGGTAAACGCAGGATAACCCTCCCTGACTAAATGTTGTACCAGCTATTCAGCTATGCAACTATTCTAAGCATTAAGATTTTGAACAAGTTCTATGTAGGTTTCCTATCTTAACAATCAGATATTTATCCTAGATCTTGAACCAACCTGCGGCGCCGAGGACACTCTCCTGACCACACCATTGTCTGCTCCTCTTGTGCCTTCTCTCCTCACTCTTTGTTGCACTGTTCTTCTCAATTCGGGTGCCGGTACATATTGCGAGTTGTCTTGTACAAGTGGTCGATATCTTCGTCGCCAATTCCGGACCACAATCACATCGGCGATGCCGGAAATCGAGGGAAGGGAGGACTAGAATTATAGCTGTTTTGTGAGTTGCAGAAAGAAATTTTAACGAAACAATTTGATCTTTTAAATAGCTATTTCCAAGGAAGAGCTGCAGAAGCTGCAGAAGAGAATTTCTTCGAACCTCTTGACTGTCCTGTTGATCAAATCCATCTTTTCGTTGTGGTCGGAAGAAATAGAGAAGCGTCCAAGCGGGTAGAAGAAAAGAAACGATATCATATGGGAATTTCAGCATCGAATACCGCAATTGTTGGTGTTCCTAGAAAGCTTTTCTTTAAAGAGAATCGAGATTCACTTTTTGTACTTACAAAAATCCCCGAACATCCTTTTTCATCATCGGCTAATATATAGAGAGAAATATGATATCCAAGATCGGCAAGACAAGATGTCTCGAAGACCCAGAATAAGCTGTAAAAGGGAAATTGAAATGGATAGGGAATACTATTGTAATGAGCTCTGTTAGAGCTGGGCTAGAGCTGTGTTAGAGCTGTGTTAGAGCTGTGTTAGAGTACGGCTTAAGCCAGGATTACCCTACTGACTTATGGCACTAGTATTCGATTATCCTTACGTGAATAGTTGTCTCCTTTGTCGTTGATGAATATTTGGTGAGGCGGAGATGCGATTCATTCGATTTACAATCAACAAAAATGAGAAAACCATTAATTGAACTGTCAGAAATTCTCCACAAGAAAACCAAATCCAATAAGGAGCTGAAAATTTCGATAATTTTAATGTGATAACAAATAATATTAAAGCGAATCAGCTATTAAAGCTTTACCATGACAATCAGTCCATGGCTCGATTGAAAGAAGAAAGCCCATCACTAGGAAAAGAGTGAAATAAGTGAAGAGAAGGATGAGTGAAGAGAAGCACAGTCTGCAAGAGTACTGTAAGATTTGTTAATCTAGATAGAGAATGCTTTGAGAATGCTAAATCTAAATCTGAATCTAAATCTGAATCTAAATCTGAATCTAAATCTGAATCTAAATCTGAATCTAAATCTAGAAAACTTGTGCTACCTCTTCCCAGCCAATGAACTCCAATGCATAATTTTCGAAGCTAAATCCAAATAGAAATAGCAGATAATGAGGAGTTCGATTGCCTGAAAATTATTAGAAATTTATATAGTCTAATTCTAAACATGAAAACCTTTGCATAGGTAATGAAAAGTGCCAATTGTGTCGTCCATCCAACCAACCATTCAAAGGAGCTGAAAGTTTTGAGAATGTTTTGAGAATGCTTTGAGAATGTTTTGATGAAAAATTGACAATCTTTTGACTAATAAAAGTGAATTTTTCGATCACTCAACATTTGATAAACTTTTCCTTGTAAACGTGACCTTTCTGGTGCACTGACTAAGTTAAAATCTAGTATCAATCCAATGTAGAGTTCAGAGAACAAGCCACTTTTTCCAAGATCTTGTTCGTGCAAGATTTGATTGTTTTTTTTCTATTAGGTCAATCAAAGCACATGACCCATTCAAAACAACTGTTCTTTCTCTATTGCAACAAGTTTTTTTTCAGAAAACCGGAAATCCATTAATTCTGGGCTGGGCTCATTTGCTAGGTTTTCAATTCTGATCATCAAAGATTGAAGTGATCTGGAGAACAAGGTAGACAGGAAACGTTTGACGTTAAATTTTGAAAACATGTGACTTTGTACTCGAGAATCGTGTAAACAGACGCTTTCTAGTGCACCAGATAGGGTGTATTTGCCTAATCTGGATGTCACATAGCACAATGAAAGTAAAAAGCTAAGGCTAGACTCAGATCTATGTGGTGATTTTTGGTGCTCTGGTAAACACGGGCTTTCTAGAGCACTGAACTGAGTGAGTGTGTCAGAAAGTGTGTTTTTAGGCTAAACTGGATGTCACATAGTACAATGGAGGCAAAAAGTTACGGCTAGACTTAGATCTAGACTTGCGTACTTTGTGCTCGGATGAACACAGGCTTTCTGGAGCATTGAACTGGGTGAGTGGGTCAGAAAATGTTTGTTTAGCTAAACTGGATGTCACATAGTGCATTAGACTCAAAAGTGATGTGACAAAACTGACACAGAAGGGGTCCTGCTTCTGACACAAAAACTCACGCCAACAATGGAATCCCGCGAAGTGCAAGGAGAATCCCTCCAAAATCTCTCTCAACTCGATTGATTGGGATGAGGACACACCGACCACAGAAATGACAAGTGATTACATCTCGAGAGAGATCTTCTAACAGAATATCAACAATCGTTGCCGGGGATTTCGATTTTGAATGGGCTTTTCGGTGTTTCGTTTTTCGTATTGGTGACTCGTTTTGTTGTGTTTCGTGTAGAGAATGTTTGTGTTTCGTTTGGAATTCACAGTGAATCGGTCGTGGAGAGGTGGATCGAGTGAGGAGACGCTTCTTCCAAAGCATCTCTTTTTCTAGAAAAACATGGAGAATCGGAATGGTCGTGAAAGAAGAAGGAGAAAAAAAGTAATGAAATCTGAATTGAAAAAAATCTGGTATAAGCCAGCTCTACGAACTTTTTAGGAGAGACCCTTCTGCTATGTTGTTGGACAAAGAAATTGAGTGAAAAGATTACTCTAAACGGACTTCATCAAGCGGAAAGAATGCTAAAAGTGACAAGAGATGGATATTTAGGGGAAGTTGGATGGCAATGGATAATAAAACTAATAGGAATCAGAGACGGTAAAGAAAAGAAAGGCTTAGCAGGCAAAAGAAAGGAATGAACATTGTGAATTGCTTCATCAGAGCTGGGGAGCTCTGATGAAGCTGGGGAGCTCTGATGAAGCTGGGGAGCTCTGATGAAGCTGGGGAGCTCTGATGAAGCTGGGGAGCTCTGATGAAGCTGGGGAGCTCTGATGAAGCTGGGGAGCTCTGATGAAGCTGGGGAGCTCTGATGAAGCTGGGGAGCTCTGATGAAGCTGGGGAGCTCTGATGAAGCTGGGGAGCTCTGATGAAGCTGGGGAGCTCTGATGAAGCTGGGGAGCTCTGATGAAGCTGGGGAGCTCTGATGAAGCTGGGGAGCTCTGATGAAGCTGGGGAGCTCTGATGAAGCTGGGGAGCTCTGATGAAGCAATCCTGGCTAAGTGGCTAAGCAATGCTATCCAAGATGGAAAGAAATGAAAAGTTTGGGAAACTATTAATTGTTGTTTCTAGAAGAAATGAATTCATTTATCTTTTCCAATTGAGTTTATGAAATAATTGATGATGAAAGGTGTTCGTTTTCGAGTTTTCAGAGAGAAATGAGATTGGGATGTGGTTTAAAAATCGTTTTTCTTACCCTTTAGCTACAGCTGGTGATGGGTGGAAATGGAAAAATAACAGCCGTTTCCACATTTCTTTCCCATTTTCCTCGTGGCCTTTCATCCAAACATTGGAAAAAAAGTGAAACTGAAGAAAAAGAGTTCAGGAAAACAGCTGAAATCCGAAGCTTTTCACTGCTTTGAAGCTTGTTGTAGTACTGAAGTGATTACTGTAGCCAAGGATGAGTCAAGGGATCCTGTAGAAGTCAAGGGATGCTGTAGAAGTCAAGGGATGCTGTAGAAGTCGAGGGATACTGTAGCTTGATTTAAAACTAAATACTGTAAAGTATAGAAAAGTAAAATGATTTAAACAAAGAAAACTTTTACTTTTCTGTTTTTTTTCTTAATTCCTTTTAAGACTTGAGGGTGGAGGGCTGAATTTTAAAGATTTTTGCTCTTTTTCCGATCATCCTAGCATTACAGAGAATAGAGATAAGATGGAAACGATTTTTTCGACTTTTACTGGAAACTTTTAAAAGAAAAAACAAATTTTAAAATTTTATACGAAATTCTGGATATCACATTGTGAAATGAGTGAAAAATATCGGAGAAAAAATTTTAATAAAAAATTTTTTTTTTGTTAACGGTGAATTGAAAATCTTTAACGCTGAAATTCGATCTTTTGAACTAAAGTAGTCAAGTGATGAGGTTTAGAAAACAGGGGAACAGGGTAGAAGAGAAACTTGAGCCAAAAATTCTGTAATAAGAGCCTATCCACCCTCATCAGCCCTCATAGTCAGCTCGAACTCATGAACGCCCTTGAAAAAACACCCGAGAACATATTCAAAATTTGTTTTTTTCGGCAAAAATCCCAATCCTGGAGGTCAGTAGGTAGAATGGAAAAGTTATAAAGTGGAGAAACAAACTTTGAAAATTAGCTCAATTGTAGAAAGCTTATGCCACCAAAAGCTTAGGCTCTAGACGCGGAAATGAGCTTGAAAATGTTGTTGGGCTAAAAATATGGATGTCATGTCAAAAGGGATCACCGTTTCTTCGAGATCTTTGACGAGTTTTTCCTTGGCGAGAAGTCTGGTTGAGTCTCGTTGATTGAGATATTGACATTTTGTGGTTTGGAATGAAAATTTCAAAAAAAGAAAACAAAAACGTTTCGGCAACAGATGGAGATTTGTGCGAGCTGGATGTCACACGAGATAATCGACGATTAAAGCGTTAATAAAAAAAACAATGAAATTCTCCAGTTCACGTAGTTTGTTCTCTCAACCGCAAAATGCTCAAAAATTGCTCAGATTTCTTAATTTTCAAATTTTTTCACCAATCTGGCACGCATTCAATAAATATAGCTAGAAAAATTGTAGATATTCTGAGAATTTGATTGAGTTGAAAATAAGTTGAGTGATTGAGTTGAGTGAAGTTTAAAAAATTAAAAAACAAACTTTTTGATTGAAAGGTTTACTCTTAAATTCTGGAATGCACAGAACTTACCCAGCTAAGCATTGCAGGAGAATCAGTAGAAATATTAGGAGTCGGATTGGGGACGGGTTTGTTCGGTGCAAGTCGATGATCCGTTTGATGGCGACAAGAGCCGAGAGAAGGGCTAGGGTCGAGACGAGGATCGATCTCAAAAGGGCATTTGTTAAGTCTGCCTGACGAGCCAGACTTGTCAGCCAGACCTATCAGCCAGACCTATTAGCCAGACCTATCAGCCAGACCTATCAGCCAGACCTATTAGCCAGACTTATCAGCCAGACCTATCAGCCAGACTCTATTTCCTTACCTAGTGCACGCCAAAGCATCCGGTTGATCACTGAAACAGCTGGCACACATCACATCGATACTTCTAAAATTGATGAACTTTTGATACGACAAACCTTTTGGACTGACTTGTTATGACTTGTGCTCTTGTTTCCTTCCGGCTCTAGCCATCCCCTCCACCAATCGAGAGAATCGAGTGGCGGGAAAGCGAATTGATGTGATGGAATGATGTCACCATGATGCGGTGTGGGGAGAACCCATTGAAGAGATGGAGAACGGGTCGGGGAATCCGTTTTGAAGGAGATTCGGAGTAGATTCGTCACTGGAAATGAAAACAATTGAAGAAAAAGGAAAAAGAAAGACAAAGCCCAATAAAAAGATAAAGTTTACCCCAGAAAACCTTTGAAATGATTTCCAAAAGATTTCCAGAGCTCAACTCTGAAATCTTTGATGACTAAACTTTCGTGGAAACTCGATTTCGTTGAAAACAAACACTTTTAGTTCCTTTTTTTTTAAACAATCAATTCTCGTTAAAAGTTTTGACTGATTGACGGATCAGAGTTTATCAGCGAGCCATTTTTTTCGAATTTTTTCGGCTTCCAATTCAAAAGTGACGTCAGAACAAGATTTCAGAGAAATTTCGCGATGAGTTGAAGATAAAATTCGAAAATTTTAGCATTTCTGTGATTTCTGGCAGTCACAGTAGCGATTTTGCGCAGAAACTTTTTGAGCAGAAAGCGGAAAGCATATTGGATCGGTAAGAATTGGATGGGGCTTTAAATTCAATGAAAAATTGCTTAGATTTCAAACTTCTCGAATTAATATTTTATGCTGGAATGCACAAAAAAAGAATTTTTCGTTATTGTCGTGAAATTCGAGCTTTTTTTTGAGCGTTCCAATTTCATTGATAAAGCGGTTTACTTTTTCAAAATCGTTTTTAAGGAGAAAAGCCGCTTTTTACAAAAAAAAAAAGGGAAAAACTGAATTTTTATGAAAAAAAGAAACCATTTAAGAGGATTTTATCGCTAAAATTTTGCAGAATTTGCAGAATCTGAGTCAGAAAAGTCCGAAAATTGTTTCACGCAAGAAAATCGGTTTGTTATTGAGAAAAGGAAAAGTTGAGCAAGAAAATCTTTAATGCTGGAGCGCACGAGGGAATTTGGAATCATCAATAAAATGAAATTTCATGAAGAAATTTTAATCGCGGTTCTCGATTTCCCCTTCACGGATCGTTTACACGATTGCCACTGGTTTAAAAAAGAAATTGAAAAGCGAAAAGACCAAACTGGAAGGCACAGTGCGGGAAATGAAAAGTAGAAAGGGTGAAAACGAAAAAACGAAAAAATGGCTGACACGTGATAAAGACAGGCAAGAAACAGGCAAAAATTGGCTCCGATTTTGCTTTTTTACTAAGCAGAACCATTCACAAGACCCCACAAAAATGTCTTGAACCACTCCAAAGCAAAAAAAAACGAAAAAAAATCACCCGGGAATCCCAATAAAATCAAGCTTTTTGTCTTTTTGAGATAAGAGGGGGAAAAATTGGCGAAATTGCGTGATTTCTTAAAATCGATTTTAGATTCGAATAAGCTGGGATGCACAGAAGATTGTCAAAAATAATTCGAACCGAAAAAATTCGAATTCGAATTCGAGCCAACCCTGGTCATACAGTGCATCAGTTTCTGTGTTTTGTTTGGATTAGTGATAAATTTGGAAACTAAACCGCCTCTTTGGGTCTATTTTTGTGATTTTTAAGAGGGTTGTTGTCTGTTTTGAGATCGCGGTGCGGGCGGAGGCAAAAGGAAACGATGAGAAGGGCACGAGACTGAATGAACCAAAAAAAAATTGAGAAATCGAGGCGATAGACAAAAAATGCAATGTTTAGAATGAATTCTGGATGTCATGTGGGCATTTGGTTAGGGAAAGAAAATATGAATGTAAATTTTGATTTTCAGCTGGCCCGAATGGCGAATGGCATTGGAATTCGTGCTTTAAAAACAAATGCATTTGATATTGAGTCGGCGTTTGTAAACAAAAAGGACAGTGGCACTAATAGGGCGAATGGGAGAGGAGAAAAATGATTCCCAGCAATAGCAATTGGCTGAAAGGCAGCTGAAAGAAAAAATTTGCAAATTATCGGTTTTTGTTGGAATCGACTTGCCATTTGTAAATGTCAAAAGATCAGAATATTTAAAAAATCAGTTAAAAACATCAAATTGGAAGTCACAGGCAATTGCTGACAAATGAATGCAAAAAAGGTGGAAAGGAAATAAAAGATTTTAGCATTTTGGATGACACATAAAGTGATTGAGGAAAAGAAATAAAAAGACGTGACTACTCGAGAGAGAGACTGGCGGGGAACGAGAGAATGGAATAGACAAGGAGAGGGGAAGCTGAAAAGATGGGAAGAGTGCCAGGGCTACGGTAGATCGAGCAGGGAATAGTGGGGAGGCATGGGTGCATTTGGTAAGAGCTTCAGTGGGCTTTGGGGCTTTAAAATATTATCTTAATCTGTTGATGGGATGGTAATCAATATCATAACTTTAAAGAGTACCGGAAAGGTGACTGATCAGTGATGTGTCAATTGGCTCCTTGGGCCCGGGCCATGATCGGATGCAGAACGATAAGGATACACTCTCCGATATGGCTGCGCGTTTCAAAGCGCTAGTTTGAAAGATTTAGTGACATTTTAGGCTCTAAACATTCAACTGGATACCAAAAGGAACTTTTTAGGCCGACTTTCAATTACAATAGATCCTTTAAAACAGCACTAAAGTCATCTAGGTAAACATAGCTGCGCGTTTTTTGACTCTAGCTTGCAAGATGTAACTTCAAATTGAAAACTAAACATTCAACTGGATATCAGAAGAAACTTTCCAGATTGAGTTTCACTGAATAACTGAGCAATAAAACAGCTCCAAATTCACTGAAATATGGCTGCGCATTTCAAGGTTCTAGATTGAAAGATTCAACTTCGTTTTTAGTGTTAAATATCTAACTGGATGTCAGATTGTGCTTTTCAGATTGATTTTCATTTGCAACAGCTGACTTTTGCAACAGCTCAAAATTCAATGAAATATGACTGCGCGTTTTTTGACTCTAGCTTGCAAGATGTAGTTACAAATTGAGTACTGCCCATCTAGCTGGATACCAGAGGGAACTTTCTGAGCTGACTATGAGCTTCAATGAATCTCCCACATTTACAAAAGCTTCAAATGCACTAAATATGACTGCGAGTTCCAAGGCACAAATTTGAAAGATATAGTGGCATTTTGGGCTCTAAACATCTAACTGTATATCAGAAGAAACTTCTCAGGTTGACTTACAATTAAAATGAATCGCTCGCCTTTATAACAGCTTCAAAGTCATCTAGATAAACATAGCTGCACGTTTTTTAACTCTAGCTTGTAAGATTTAGCTTTAAATTGAGGGTTAAATATCTAACTGGATGTCAGATTATGCTTTCCAAATTGAGTTTCATTAAATAGTTGACTTTTGCAACAGTTCAAAATTCACTGAAATATGGCTGCGCGTTTCAAGGCTCTAGATTGAAAGGTCGTGTTAAATATCTACTGGATGCAATTGAGCTTCCAGTTGTGTCAAATAGTTGCTTTTCACTCCAAAATTCCTGTTTTCAAGGCTCTAGCTTGCAAGATGTAGCTAGAAATTGAGAACTAAACATCTAACTGGATATCAGAAGGAACTTTCCAGATTGAGTTTCACTGAATAGCTGAACAATAAAACAGCTCCAAATTCACTGAAATATGGCTGCGCGTTTTAAAGCCCTAGGTCAAAAGATTTGGTGTCATTTTTGACGTTAAACTTCTGATTGGATATCAGAAAAAGCTTTTCAATTGAGTTACAATGAATTGCTGACTTTTTTGACACCTTCGAAATCATCGAAACATGGCTCCGCGTTTTAAGGCTCTAACTTGGGTGATATAATTTCGAATTGAGTGTTAAACATCAAATTGTATAGCAGAAAACGTTTTTTAGATTGAGTTTCATTGAATGGTTGACTTTTACAAGAGCTCCAAATCTACTGAAATATGACTACACGTTTTAAGGCTCGTACTTGCAATAATTTTTATCATCATGGACACTTAACAGCTAATTGGATATCAGAAGGAACTTTCCAGCTTGAGTTTCATGAAATAGTTGACCTTATAACAGCTGCAAATTCTTCGAAATATGACTGCGCGTCTTTGGGCAATAGCTTGAAATTTATACTTCTGATTTTGATACAAAAAATCCTTTTTGGATATCAGAAGGAACTCTTCAGCTTGAGTTTCATTGAATCTCTGTGCCTTTTAAAATATTTAAATTAAAACTTTTTAAATTTAATTTAAATTTAAACAAAAATTAAGATTTAAAACTAGATGATCCTCTCCAAAATGGATACTAACTGAATATCAGAAAAAGTTTTCCAGAATAAATTCATTCAATCTCTGACTTTTATAAGAGCTACAAACGGAAATCAACTAACTGGATAGACTAGAGATCAAAAATTAACTCCACCGCATAAATCGTCACTTTCTGTCTAGCTCAAAATACACTGACCATGGCTGCGCGTTTTTAGAAAGTAACTTGAAAAATACACTCTTGAATTTTATGCCAATTATCTAACTGGAAATCAGAAAGAGCCTTCCATATTGAGTTTCAGTGAATGGTTGACTTTTACAACAGCTCAAAATTCACTGAAATATGGCTGTGCGTTTCAAGGCTTCAGATTGAAAGATTCAACTTCGAATTGAGTGTCAAACATCTAACTGGATGTCAGATTGAGCTTTCCGGATTGTGTTTCATTAAATAGTTGGCTTTTTACAACAGCTCACTGAGATATGACTGCGCGTTTCAAGGCTCTAGCTTGCAAGATGTAGCTTCAAATTGAGAACTAAACATCTAACTGGATATCAGAAGGAACTTTCCAGATTGAGTTTCACTGAATAGCTGAACAATAAAACAGCTCCAAATTCACTGAAATATGGCTGCGCGTTTTAAAGCCCTAGGTCAAAAGATTTGGTGTCATTTTTGACGTTAAACTTCTGATTGGATATCAGAAAAAGCTTTTCAATTGAGTTACAATGAATTGCTGACTTTTTCGACAGCTTCAAAATTATCGAGACATGGCTCCGCGTTTTAAGGCTCTAGATTGAAAGATTCGGTAAGATTTTGAATACCAAACACCTAACTGGGTATCACAAAAGTTTTCCAAATTGAGTCTTTTTAGATAGTTGGACCTTATAACAACTTCAAATTCACTGGAATATGGCTGTGCGTTTCAAGGCTTCAGATTGAAAGATTCAACTTCGAATTGAGTGTCAAACATCCAACTGGATGTCAGATTGAGCTTTCCGGATTGTGTTTCATTAAATAGTTGACTTTTTACAACAGCTCAAAATTCACTGAAATATGGCTGCGCGTTTCAAGACTCTAGCTTGCAAGGCTTAGTTTCAAATTGAGAACTAAACATCTAACTGGACATCAGAAGAAACTTTCCAAATTAAAGTTCACAGAAATATTGAACATCTCAACCTCTGCAAATGCACTTAAATATGGCTGCGCGTTTTTAGACAGCAGCTTGACTGATTCATTGTAGATTATGATATTAATCATCTATCTGGATATCAAAGAGATCATCCCAAATTGATTTTCTATAATTTTCCGTGCTTTTGCCCTTCCTTGCATTTGATAACAATCGAAATTCACCAGCTGCTTGTTTCTGAGAGCAGTTAGGCAGACTCACTTTCAAATTGAGTACTAAACATCTAATTGGATATCTTAAAAGAAGGAACTTTCCAGATTGAGTTTCACTCAATAACGGAACAATAAAACGACTTCAAATTCCCTGAAATATGGCTGCGGGTCTTAAAGCCCTAGATTTAAAGATTTGATGGCAGTTAATCCCCTAAACTTCTAATTGTATATCAGAATAGCTTTTCAGATTGATTTCTAATGAATTGCTGGCAAGAGCCTCAAATTTACCAAAATATGACTTCACGTTTTAAGACTCTACCTTGGAAGGTTCAGTAACATTTAAACATCTACCTGGTAACTGTTTATCAGAATGAGTCTGTCTGTTTTTGTAGTGCAGCGAGATAGCGAGACATATCTGCCTAATTCAGCAAAATAGAATCTGTCTAACGAGAAAAGTTTTATTTTTGTTTGAGATCAGCAAGAAAAGGATGAAGAGTTAAAAATGGATAGCTAGGTTGTTTAAAAAGAGTGGAATTCTCGAGATTGCACTTTGGTATCTAGGTGGATAAAATGGAGGAAATCAAATAAAATCAAATAAATAAAACAAATAACACTTATCAAATTCAAATGTAAACAAGCAGCTTTTCAATAGCTTCAATAGCTTTAATAAATTTCAATTCAGTTCAAAAACCTATGCAAATTTCCGCGAAAACTGCGGATAGGCCATGATTTGTAGTTGGGGATTTTGAGTGACACCGATTGGAAGTGATGAATGAATGGGAATAGCGAAAAGGGTTCCCGATTGACCGGGTCGTTTGATGATTACAGGTTGTGAGAAAAGGGGATGTTGATAGAAATTGGATGAATGAGAAGTGGTAGACCATGGATTGGTCGGGTTGAGGAAGCTGCCCGAAGTTCTGAAAGAGAAAAGTTTGATGTTATAATCAAAAGATGAATGATCAAGCAAGCCTTTACCACCTGAGCCTCTGCAAAATGGCCATCGTCGATGGGGAGAGGTGTTTATTGTGTGAGATTTTCGTCTCTTGCGTGTAGTCGGGCAAGTTGATGCGTTCAGTTCGCTCAACCTGTAAAAAAAATATACTTTTCCATAACTTACAGTAGTATGCAATTAATCAGAAAATACTTATAAAGTTTGATTATATTCTTTTTACCCTCATATTGTCAATGTCGGGGTCGCTCTTGCGCGCCAGCTTCTCGTCGAATTTGTGCGTGAGGCTGGTGATTCCGTTTTTCTAAAAACGTACATACTAGCTAGACTTTCCGGTATGCCCACCTCTTCCAATATCTGCGTCAGTGGGCCGTTCTCAACCACGTGCTCATCGCCATTTTCCTTCTTTTTCCCGTGTCTTCTCTTCTTTTTGTGATGTCTTCTTCTAAAAATTATAGATTATCATATTATTTTGTATCAAAAAATATCAATTTTTATCCCAATCAAGTTCAATTCCGTTCTGGAAAGTACAAGCTGACATCCAGTTAGATATTTGACACTCAATTCGAAGTTGAATCTTTTAATCTAGAGCCTTGAAACGCGCAGCCATATTTCAGTGAATTTTGAACTGTTGCAAAAGTCAACTATTTAATGAAACTCAATCTAGAAAGTTTCTTTTGACATCCAGTTAGATGTTTGGTTCTCAATTTGAAGCTACATCTTGCAAGCTAGAGTCAAAAAACGCGCAGTCATGTTTCATCGAATTTTGAGCTGTTGTAAAAGTCAACTATTTAATGAAACTTAATTTGGAAAGCATAAGCTGACGTCCAGTTAAATGTTTGACACTTAATTCCAAGTGGAATCTTTCAATCTAGAGCCTTGAAACGCGCAGCCATATTTCAGTGAATTTTGAACTGTTGCAAAAATCAACTATTTAATGAAACTCAATCTAGAAAGCATAATCTGACATCCAGCTAGATATTTAACCCTCAATTTAAAGCTAAATCTTGCAAGCTAGAGTTAAAAACGTGCAGCTATGTTTCTAGATGACTTTGAGCGTATAAGGCCGCGCTCATTTTAATTGTGTCAACCGGGAAGTTCCTTCTGTTCCAGTTAGTGTTTAGGCCCAAAATGTCCTATATCTTTCAATTTGTGCCTTGGCTCGCAGTCATATTTAGTGCTTTGAGCTTTTGTAAATGTGGGAGTTCATTGGCCATAGTCAGCTCAGAGTTCCCTCTGGTATCCAGCTAGATGGGCAGTACTCAATTTGTAACCACATCTTGCAAGCTAGAGTCAAAAACGCGCAGCCATATTTCATTGAATTTTGCACTGTTGTAAAAGTCAACTTTTAATGAAACGCAATTTGGAAAGCATAAGCTGACATCCAGTTAGATGTTTGACACTTAATTCAAAGTTGAACCTTTCAATCTAGAGTTAAAAAACGCGCAGCCATATTTTAGTGAATTTTCCAATTTCACCTTCTCTTTTTCCCGTGCTTTCGGTGTTTTCGGTGGCGTCGATGCCGGCGATGTCGATGCTTCTTTTGGAGGCCAAGTTTTCGATAAAGAAGCTGGAAATTACGAATACATATCTTCATATCCAGTTTCATTTTATTACCTGCTCTTGCGCTGGGATCAGAGTCGGAAACCTCGACACTAGTCCTTGTTCTCGTCCGAAGAGCTGAGCTAAAACGAGGGAATACATTCTGGGGAAATCTAGGGGAAAAAATTTAAATGTATTTAAATCCAAACATAGATTTGCACTCAAATCCGGTGAATTTGTTCCCATCTTTGCTTCTTCCAAACTTTTCTCTCCGGAGAATTTTTGGAGTTTTGAGGCGAGGGCTTTTCGCTCAGGTTGGGTTTTGTGGAGTTGCGAGATGTGAACCTAAAAGAAAATTTTATAGGCTTCAGAATTCAAATGCTTAGCCTGAACAATATTATTTTCATGTCATATTTGTTCCTAAGGAAAATCAATATCTGTGGAGTTGCAAGACGAACAGATTTCAAGTTTTCGGAGCAGCAGAAAAAGGGGGGCTGGCTTGAAGTGGTTTTTGAGCTCAAAGCTTCAGCGAAACAAATTTTAGCATGAAAATTCGGTTATAACTACTATTAGGTTGACCGATAAGTCTTTGGACTCTACATATAAAAGGCTATTTAGATATAACGAATTCACCGATTGACCTACGAGTTTGCTTCATTAGAAAGGCCTACCTGAGGTTACTTTTTAACACCTAAGTCCCCAATAATCAATCCAATTCAAAATCTTTTTGCACTATTTTTAGAGGAGATTCAGGGCTTACAAACAGTATTTCGAACACCTACTGGTTGAGACTTGCAATCTTTTTATTTTTGGAAAGATATGTGAGCGCTGGTTTCATTCCCATCACCCTAATAGAGCCTTGAAACGCGCAGTGAATTTTGAGCTTTTGTAAACATCAACTATTTAATAAAACTCAATCTGGAAAGCTTCTTTTGTTATCCAGTTAGATGCTTAGTTCTCAATTTAAAGCTAAATCTTGCAAGATAGAGTCAAAAAACGCGCAGCCATATTTCAGTGAATTTTGAACTGTTGTGAAAGTCAACTATTTAATGAAACACAATCTGGAAAGCTCAATCTGACCTCCAGCTAGATGTTTGACACTTAATTCGAAGTTGAATCTTTCAATCTAGAGTCTTAAAACGTGCAGCCATATTCCAGTAAATTTGAAGTTGTTATAAAGGCCAACTATTTAATAAAACTCAATCTGGAAAGCTTTTGTGATACCCAGTTAGGTGTTTGGTATCCAAAAATTTACCGAATCTTTCAATCTAGAGCCTTGAAACGCGCAGCCATGTCTCGATAATTTTGAAGCTGTCGAAAAAGTCAGCAATTCATTGTAACTCAATTGAAAAGCTTTTTCTGATATCCAATCAGAAGTTTAGCGTCAAAAATGCTACCAGATTTTTTGACCTAGCGCTTTAAAACGCTCAGCCATATTTCAGTGAATTTGGAGCTGTTTTATTGCTCAGTTATTCAGTGAAACTCAATCTGGAAAGTTTCTTCTGATATCCAGTTAGAAGTTTAGTTTTCAAATTGAAGCTAAGTCTTGCAGGCTAGAGTCAAAAAACGCGCAGCTATGTTTACCTAGATAACTCTAATTCATTGTAATTGTAAGTCAACCTGAGAAGTTCCTTCTGATATCCAGTTAGATGTTTAGAGCCCAAAATGTCACTATAGCTTTCAAATTCGTCCCTTAGAACTCGCAGTCGTATTTGGTGCATTTGAAGCTGTTGTAAATGAGATTCATTGAAGCTTATAGTCAGCTCGGAAAGTACCCTATGATATCCAACTAGACGGGCAGTACTCAATTTGAAACTACGTCTTGCAAGCTAGAGTCTTAAAACGCGTAGCCATATTAAATTTGGAGCTGTAAAAAGGCAGCTATTTAATGAAAATCAATCTGTAAAAGCACAATCTGACATCCAGTTAGATGTTTGACACTAAAAACGAAGTTTAATCTTTCAATCTAGAGCCTTGAAATGCGGAGCCATATTTCAGTGAATTTGGAGCTGTTTTATTGCTCAGTTATTCAGTGAAACTCAATCTGGAAAGTTCCTTCTGATATCCAGTTAGATGTTTAGAGCAAAGTTAGGCAAATCGAAAAACTTTCAGAACAATCTGTTCAGCCAATTTCTTTGTAGATCTATTTATGAAATTATACGATAAATGAGTTTTTGCACTCAATTTTGCTTAAAAACGGGCTCAGATTGATTTAAAGAGATAGAAAAATGAATAATAAACCTTTTCTATTTAGAGCAAACGGTAGATCAATTGATGAACTTTTCAATTTTAAGCAGATTTATAATCAAGTAATAAAGTGTCCAAAGACTCATCAGTCAACCAAATATTAGGCTATTTCAGAGCCAGTTAGTAAGATAGTTACAGTAATCCAGCACTTACATATTGAACGGGCAGTGGCGGGCCGCCATTTATCGACACATAGCGCTGCCTGGAATTTGTTTTTACAAAAATATCATCAATTGGATGTCACGAGGATTTATTATATGGCTATTATATGGCTATTATATAGCTATTTTAAACTCACTCAAATGGAAGGTAGACCCCGAAAATGGGAGTGATGAATAGGAAGAGTAACCACATGGGTAATGGAAATGGTTCTGGAAAAAAAAAGCGGTAAAAGTTACAGTACTCTGTAGTCCAGTTCAATACTAAGAACAATCACTGTAGCTTTAATGTAAACATTTTAGAAATCAATGAAAATAAACGATTTAAAAGATTTGGATGGCTGGTAGGAAAGAAATGAATGGATTGGATATTGAACTGCCATTGAGATTTGGAGGAGGGATACTTTTCCTTTAGCCTTCACACTGTATGGATCGAAATCCCCTTTCAATTCTTTCAATTTCTTCTCAAATCTCAAATCTGCTCTTTTCCCCATTCATCCCCAAATAAATGCCAGAAAAGGATGGCTTTTTTGAATGAAAGAATTGCTGAAAGCTTGAAAAATTTTCCCATTTCTGACCCCGATTTGTTTTTGAGATAAAAGTCGAATCGAAAAGAGTTAGTATTGCTGTTTTTGTTGAGATTTCAGAAAAAGATTGGAAAGGTTTCGAGAAAAGGAAAAAAAAATTGAACTTCTATATCTTGATGTTGATTTGAAAGCTGTCAAAACTCGCCAAAGTTCTTCATCTCCTTTTTCATCGATCTTAAATTAACGTCTCTCTTTTCCGTTCCAGCTAGAATCTAGATAGGGAAAATGAGAATGATGGGAAGAAAAAAAAACTGATTGAATCACTGAGAAGTGGGAAATGATTGAGAAAACGCTAAACAAATGCTTTTTGATATGATAAAAGTTCTGAAAAGCTAGATTTCGAAGAAAATTGATCTTTCTGGATGTCACTAAGACTTTTGAAAACATTGGCGATGCCATCAAACATTCGTGTGCCATCAGTGCCATCAGTGCCATCGGTGTGTGCCAGATAGCAATAGCGACAAACCAAAGTTCAAAGCCAAATTCAAAAAAAAGCAATCCCTGTGCACTCTGTGCGTTCCAAAACATGCAAACGAACTGTTTCTGGAGCACGAAGACACAAAAAGACTAAAGATATTCAACTAAAAAGTAAAAATGACAATTTCACAGTAAAAATTGGGTGAATCTGCCTCGTGACATCCAGGATTTGGAAAAATAAGAAAAAAAAAAGCTTGAGAGTGAGCAAGCATGATAGAAAAGGATTTGCGGCGGGAAAAACTGCTTATTGTTGCCATTTTCAGTTTATTTCCCCATATAGCTAATCGGAAAAAACCTGGATTTGAAAAAAGGGAGTTCGCAGAAGAATTTTCCTCAAGTTTTCGCCATCAAAATAATCACGGCAAAGGAAAAAAAACTTGTTTGACCCTGGAAATCCCGTTTTTTTTTGCTAAATGACTTTTTGAGAGAATTTCCGCGAGAATTTATTCAGTACGATTTTTAGCTTCCATCTTTAGCTTCGATTTTTGACGTACTTTTTGCTTTTGCCGTTTAGTCGTGCCTTTGAAGTAGCTCTGGACTCGTTTGCATTTGCGATTGTATTCGATTGCGTTTGTATTCGATTAAGAATGAAAACGAAACGATAACTCGACTTTATCACGGAGAATCGCAAGAGAATTCAGTTGAAAAGCTTTCGCGAGGGACTATTTCAAATTTCTTCAATCGTCACATACAACTCTGCGGCATCCTGGCATTGGATTCATGTGAAAATCGTTACTGACAAACGAGAACGAGAACGAGAACGAGAACGAGAACGAGAACGAGAACGAGAACGAGAACGAGAACGAGAACGAGAACGAGAACGAGAACGAGAACGAGAACGAGAACGAGAACGAGAACGAGAACGAGAACGAGAACGAGAACGAGAACGAGAACGAGAACGAGAACGAGAACGAGAACGAGAACGAGAACGAGAACGAGAACGAGAAAAGACGCGAATGTCTTTGGTTACAATTTTGCTTGTGGTTTTTGGGATTTAACGAAAATCGTAGAGATTTGGGTTACTTAGAATTTCGTTTAAAGATGAAAATCATGATTTTCGTTTAAGGAAAATCGACGGTAAGGAAAATCGACGGTAAGGAAAATCGACGACAAGCAGAATCGCTTTCAATGTTGATCGTCGTTGTTAATGGCCGAAAAATTGAATCAAAAAATTGAATCAAAAAATTGAATCAAAAAATTGGGTCAAAAAATTGGATCAAAAAATTTGCTAGAAATTGTTGCTCAGATTTGTTTTTCCATTCCTCAGCTTCATCAGCTTTATCAGCTTTTGCTCGTTTGGTAAACGGGTGTTTCAGCTTTATGTTTTTTTTTTTGCAAATCTTTGCGAAGGGAAAAGGGAAATCTTTTATTGAGTTTTTGGTAAAAAAAAAAAGAGATTCTCTAGAGAATCGATTTTTTTGCGCTCTTTTCTAGCATCTAGCTTAATTTAAAATTTATTAAAATGATTTAAAAAATTAGCTGCTTAATCAAAAGAAAATCTAAAAGCTAAGAAAAAGAAATAAGAAAAAAATTCGCTTAAAAATTTTCGTTTATTTTTAAGGGAATTTTTTTTCAAAAATTTTCGATAACTTAAAGAAATCATTTTTTTTTTTTTTTTTTGAATCTAGTTTTATTGAGTCAACAAATTTCGACAAATAAAGGGAAAACGGTTTTCTTTTTTGCTTCTAGATCAACAAATCAAATGTTTGAATGAAAAAAAAAAGTGATAAGACAAGCTGCTGATAAAAATGCTGAAAAAAAAAACAAAAATCAAAGGAAAGTATTGGATTGGCGAATTGAAAGCTGCAGGCTATTTCGTGGGACTCATAGCTAAATAAAACAACAGCATTTAAACCGGCTGAAAGGGAGTTTGTGCTTCCGCTTCCAAATTATGCTTCCAGTTTTAGCTGAAAGCATAATTTGCATATAATAATAGCATAATTCTTTTATTGCACAATCTGCCATCGGAATATATTCGTGATGTCATGCTTCCTACAATAGCACAGTGCAAGCTTGGCACCTGCTAATATTAAAAAGATATATATGGAGAGGACTCACCTTCCGAAAGAACGTGTCGAGCATGGTTTGCCAAGTTTCGATCTGGGGACAAATCTTTGAAAGATGCAAAGAGCCGTGGAGCGGCACCACAACTGGATGATTCCAAATTACTTGAATTCATTCCCAACGACCATCGGGTATCATCGCGTGAATTGGGAGAAGAGTTAGGGGTTGATCATTCTACAGTGTTAAGGCACCTTAATACCCTTGGATTTAAATCGAAACTTGGGACTTGGGTGCCCTATGAGGCTTAGGTGCCCCCTCAATAACCCCCAGAAGTGGCAGCGCGCCTCGATCAGTGTTCGTTCAAAGATAAACTGCTTCACGTTCATTTCATTATTTAAATGCAAAAAAAAAATTTTTAATTAAAAGTAAAGTGATTATTTTTGACGATTAGTATTTTAATTTTAATTTTAATTTTAATCTTTTACAATCTTTAATCACAATTACAATCCCTTGCTTGTCTTTTAAATAAAGAATAGAACCAAGTACAGACACACGTGCCTTCTTTTTTTCTATTTTTTTCCTTCAACAGACCCTCCAGGCCTCTATTTGCGGAACAGTTTTCGAGAGAGAGAAAGATTTTCTTTTCTTCTTTCTCTTTCTCTTTTCTTCTTTCTCTTTTCTTCTTTTCCATTCCGTCAATCAACTCCATGATCATCGAAAGAGAAACAATGCGGAAACGGAAAACCCCCTAAAGATATGGTTGAGTGGAAAGGGAAAGGCTTCACTGAAGATGTTGAGGAGGAAACTCAAGCATCACGTTAAACTGAATGCCTTCAAGGATCATAAAGAAGATTGAAGTAAAAGCATTGTCGAAGACAAAGTGCTTCACGTACTTTTGAATTCCTGGGCTTTAGAAGAGGTTTAGAAGAGGTTTAGAAGAGGTTTGGAAGAGGTTTAGAAGAGCTTTAGATGAGCTTTGGAAGAGCTTTAGATGAGCTTTAGAAGGCTTTGTGGCTTTGGTGGCTTTGAAGGCTTTGTGGCTTTGGAAGAGGTTTGGAAGAGGTTTGGAAGAGGTTTAGAAGAGCTTTGGAAGAGCTTTAGATGAGCTTTAGATGAGCTTTAGAAGAGCTTTAGATGAGCTTTAGATGAGCTTTAGATGAGCTTTAGAAGAGCTTTAGATGAGCTTTGGATGAGCTTTAGAAGAGGTTTAGATGAGCTTTGGAAGGGTTTGGATGAGCTTTGGATGAGCTTTAGAAGAGGTTTAGATGAGCTTTGGAAGAGGTTTAGAAAAGCTTTAGAGAGAAGAATTGATTAAAGATGATTAAAGAGGCTCAATTCTTCTCAAATTCTTCTCAAAAAGGCTCAAATTCCTCAATTTATGTTTGAATTTGTACTTTCTCTTGTTTTGAGTAAAGTATAATGAAAGACGTTGTTTTTAAACAACCAAAACAAAGAGCTTTGAATGAAGATCAAGTTTTAGGAATGAAATGTGGTGTTTCTTTGTCTAACCACTCGATTATCATCTAGCATTGAATTGATCAGTTGACCAAAAAGATCAATCCGATATTTCAACGAAGAAAATACCAAATATCAGCCTACTAGTTGCCTGTTGAATTTGAGCGCTTTTTTTAGAGCGATCTACTCTAAAATCTCTTAATAAAAGCTTTATTTCAGAAATTCTTATGCTCGCTACTTGTTGAACCACTCGAAAAACCCCAGAAACTAGTCTTGAATCATTTTCACTAATGCTTGATTCAAAAGATTTATTGAAAGAAGTAAAATTGAGCAATAAAGATCACTTCACTCATCAGAATCCCTTTTCCAGAAAATTTTCTTTAGCAAAGACAAGACTTTTTTGTTTGTGTGGTGAAGCAAAATGAATCGTCATCAAGGCGATTCCTTTCTTTTCCCTTTCTTTTCCAATCCTCTCAATCGGGTGCTGGCTAAGGCAGGGGAGGGGGAAATTGGGGAAAAAGATCGACAGACTTCGTAAAAGAGCGTCGAGCACTTGATCTTGCAATCATTTTCGAATGGCATTGATCGTGGCAGTGATTGGGATTGATTGGCATTGATGGCATTGATGGCATTGATTGGCATTGATGGCATTGATGGCATTGATGGCATTGATTAGCATTGATGGCATTGATGGCATTGATGGCATTGATGGTATTGATGGCATTGATTGGCATTAACTGGCATTGATTGGCATTGATTGGCATTGATAGCCTTGATGGCATTAATGGCATTGATTCTATCTTAACCTTTTCATAAAGCATGAAGGATGGTAAATCTCCGTTTACAAACAAAATCTCAAAAAGTATTGTTGAATCGTATTTGAAATAAGCTTTAAATTAGTTTAATTTTCCAATTCTTTACACTTAAAAAGGCTAATTATTACTTAAAAAATGTTTCTTTAATGAAGAAATCCCAAAAAAATGAGTCAGCTGAAGAAGAAACACTGTGGAATGTTGGCAAAAAAGAGAGGTAGCCGGTTAGTTTTCAATGAAAGAAATCATCTTTTGGACTCTCTAGAGCCTTTGACTCTATCTCCGACTCTTTTTTTAGAGACTTAGACCCAGACAAGGCTCCTTTTTATAGAACCGGTCACCTCTTTTTTTTTTCTTTCGATCTAACCCCGACAACAATGCAGAGGTTCAATGAAAAAAAGACAAGCGTTTTCTTGTAGAAATCTTGGAAATGATAGGTTGTGGAATGTGTAGTGTAGTGTAGTGTAGTGTAGAATTTAAGGATCTAGTCATTAAACCAATTTTTGGTAAAGTGCAAAACATTCTTGGAGGTATGGGGAATTGAACCCCAGACCTCTCGCATGCTAAGCGAGCGCTCTACCACTGAGCTATACCCCCATCTGGTTGGCGGTTGAGAAAATGGGTTTTTCAGCTAAAACTCGACTTAAGTAAGGATTTTGCAGGTTTTCTGGAAGCTAATGGATATTCAAATTTCGCTTAGAATATGTAAATTTCTTGTAGAATTTACTATTTACCGATTCCCCATCCCACCCCCATCAATCCATCAATTATCTCTCCTTGTTTACAAAAGTGTCTATGCGCAAATCAAACAGAAGAAACTGTGTGCTTAGCGTTACTCTTGGATAATGTAAAATCCTTGATTGCAAAAAAACCTAGAGTTTACAAATATTTGGAAACTAATCAGCTGTAGTTGCCTAGTGATATCCAGATTGAAAACTGGTGTCATTTGTTAGGCTGTTGGTGATCTTTGTTGTGCAAAAGATGCTAGGTGAAAAGAGGTGAAAGGTACAAAAAAATTCTAGATTTGCAAATATTTGGGAAATGATAAGCTGCAGTTGTCTAGTGATATCCAGCTTGAAAACTGGTGCAATTGGTTGGGGTGTTGGTGATCTTTGTTGTGTGAAAAAGATCGTAGGAGAGAGAAGAAATGTACACAGAGCGAAGAAGGGTGAAAAATGATCAGAGTTCTACATAGTTTTTGGGTTTTTCTGCTAAATTTCAAGGCTGCTACTGGATTTTTTGAAATTTCTAGAATCTTGAGGAGATAAAGGGATTACAAGTCGAGTACTCCAGCTGCTGCATCCCAGCTACAGTACTCCAGCTTACTGTTGTCTTAAAACTACTGTACCCGAGCTCACACAGGTTCACAGACCGTACTAGATATGAAATTGATTCTATAGAAGAAAGGGGGAGCAGCTAAGCCACACGTGGGTGACGTCATCACCGAGAGAGACTCCATCGATCCCTGGGTACCCCCGGATCCCACCCTTTTCGTTTCAAAACTCGCAACCCTGACGTGAGTCTTGATTATCTCTTTGCATTTCTTTTCCCAGCCTGTCGCCGCATTGTGTGCGCTTCCGGATGAGTCAATGTTTGTGACTGCTGGGGACTGGGGTGGCCCGGGGTACCCTAGCCCAGCCCATCTTTTGGACAACCCCATCCCTCCCACCCCTGAAAATCTTGCTTTAAAAGCTCGATCAATCAGCCCAGCCGGCCACATCACATCCCATTCACATTGCACAAATGATCGTCAAGGGTCTTTTCCTTGCCACTCTTCTCCTCGTCTCCGTTTACGCTGAAGAGGCTGAGGTGAGTGGTTACTGTAACTATTTGATCATCTGCAGATCCTTCTGTAGTCTTTTGTAGGCTTCTGTAGCCTTCTGTAGGCTTCTGTAGCCTTCTGTAGGCTTCTGTAGCCTTCTGTAGCCTTCTGTAGTCTTTTGTAGCCTTCTGTAGCCATCTGTAGTCTACTATAGCCTTCTGTAGCCTTCTGTAGCTTTCTGTAGCTTTTAAACTTTATCTTTTCCTTTATCAAATCTTCTCATTTTATCCTAAAGCTGAATTTTTCTTCTTTTGAATAAATTGATAGTTGATAACAAAGCTATTAAATGAATTGACAGCTTTGATATCAACTGTGACATCCAATATTCATCCTTATCTTTTTCTTACTTTTCTAGGTGTCCACTGAGGCTCCAAAAGAGGAGGTGAGCACATCAGCGGTGGTGAGAGCAAAGAGACAATGCGGATGCTCGGGATGTAGCTCGTGTGGATCGCAGCAGACACAGGTAATCACAAATTTGCTGGGTTACTGTAACCCAGCTCTGCCTGGGAAAGCTAAATCTTTCTCGATCTTTAGTGTGTGCCAGTTTGTGTCCAGCAGTGTCAACAGGCGTGTGGATGTCAGCAATGCCAATGCAGCAATCAGTGTCAATCGAGTTGCCAGCAACAATGTGGAGTGAGTTTCTAGAGTTTCTAATCGACTACGAGCAGCTACAACAGTTGTACCTCTTTCAGATTGCTATCGCTATCCCTGCTCAACAATCATGCAATCAATGCCAATCGTCATGCTCAAACTCGTGTGGTTCAAACACGATCTGTCTCCAAACATGTCAACAGAACTCTTGCCCACAATGTTGCCCACAAAATAATTGCCAGCAATCAGTAAGGAATTATTCTTGCTCTATCTCATCTATCAAATCAATTCCAGCAACCGATCATTGTTGTCCAACAACCCCAACAACAACAATGCCAATCTCCTTGCTGTAACTCGTGCCAATCCGCCTGTCAGAGTCAGTGCGCTACCCCGGTTTGTGTCCAAGGATGTCAATCAGCTTGCAATTCGCAATGCTCGTCTTCTCAACAACCGATTGTCATCGTTGTCCCTAACAACAATCAATGGTTTGTGCTCGAGAAAGTCTAGAAAAGTCTAAGAACAATTTCTAGCTCATCCTCTTGCTCAAACTCGTGCCAACAACAATGCCCGACACCAGTCTGCGTTCAAACTTGTCAATCTCAATGCAACAACGTTTGTGGGTGCTCGTCCGGCAACTGTCAGCAGCAACAATCGCAGCCGATCATCGTCCTCCAACAACAACAGCAGAACTCTTGTCAAAATACATGCCAAAATCAGTGTATGAATTCATGCACAAGCTCACAAACCGTTCTCCAATGTCAACCGATTTGCGCTCAAACTTGTCAACAAACTTGCCAACAAGCGCAACAAATTGTGATTCCATGCACATCGTCGGGATCATCGTGCTCGTGCTCGTCCGGCTACCAGGCTTGCGGCGGATCTTGCTGCCGGGTTTAAGGTGAGAAAGAGGGACCAACTGGAGCTATAGCTATAGCTGTAGCTGCTGTAGCTGTAGCTGTAGCTATAGGGGATTGTAGGGGATCGTAGGGGATCGTAGGGATCGTAGGGTATCTCGTCTACAATCCCTACAATTGCCTACGATCCCCTACGATCCCTGTAGCTATAGCTGTAGCTCTACGCGATCGTAGGCGATCGTAGGGGATCGTAGGGGATCATAGGGGATCGTAGGGGATCGTAGGGGATCGTAGGGGATCTTAGGGGATTGTAGGGGATCGTAGACGATCGTAGGGGATCGTAGAGGATCGTAGGCGATTCTAGGGATTCTAGGGATTCTAGACGAGATACGGTGACTATCACAGTGCAAACCATTGATCATTTCTCTTATTCCAGTGTTTCTCATCATCGACAACAGCAAGCTTTGCTCAAGAATCAGCTCAACACAATTCTTTCCTCAAATCTCACCATTTCACCAATGCAATTGCCGGTTTATTCTTTCAAAAAAATCCATGTCGAATTTTTCAATATCATATTTGTATATTTATAGATGAGCTAAATAATAAATTAATTTTATTCAATCAAAAGATTTAAAGGATTCAGAAAAGAAAGCTAAAAAAAGAAAGCAAAAGAAAAGGAAAAAGAAAAAGAACCCCAAGAAATCAACTCCAGTTTAACTGGAGTTTTTATCAACTCCAAGCAATCTAAGGATGAACGAACATCAAGTATTTCGCTTCAATCTCTTCTGGATTGAATTTAAGCCGTCCACATTTGATCTTTTTCTCATCGCTTGCCTCGAAACGGGGCTTGAATGGCGATTTAAGCAACATTGGCACTTTCATTGAATCCGAATAGGAGCAAACCTGAAAAAGTGATTTATTCACAAAATTACCCATGTCAATACGTGCTGTGCGCTCCAGATAAAAGAAAAAACATCTTTTTGGTGCAATTGATGCGTGAATTTTGCTTAAAATTAGGCGCAAGCATTTGGAAAAAATTTCCATTTAAACATTACCATTTAGCGAATTTTTGTCTAGCTTTTAAATGCAAATTTAAACGGCGAAATGACGCAATTCCAAAATTGCGTCATTTCGCCGCCAAACCTCTTTTGATCCCCTTCCCATTACCCTCAACCAGATGGGGGTATAGCTCAGTGGTAGAGCGCTCGCTTAGCATGCGAGAGGTCTGGGGTTCAATTCCCCATACCTCCAAGAATGGCTTTGCTTTTGGGAAAAATTTACTTTTGAAAGCATTCTACACGTGTAGTCGATGTTCAGCACAAGTCTTTCTCCTCTCTTTAACTGCAGGGGTTCTGTTGAGACGCAAAACTCGGCATTGTTCATTTCCGAGTGACGGTAAAGCGGTTCTAAACGATTTCCGAGTAAGCTAAAGTATTCCTTCAAACAAACCAGATCCCTTTTGAGTGTAAAGCGAAAAATCGCTTTTATAGACTTGAAAGCCGTTTGGGCAGAGGATCTAGAAGAGGATCGGTTTTTGTTTTTTTGATAGATCTAGATCTACCTTTCCATCAATATTCAGTGTGAATGCAGTTGATATAAACATGAGAAAGTTTCCAATTAATCGAGTCATTTTTGTTGGGGAGAATCTAAGAGAAATTAATTGATAAAGAAAGAAAAAGAAAGAAAAAGAAAGAAAAGAAAGAAAGAAAGTTAAAGAAAGTTAAAGAAAGATCAAGAAAGTCAAAGTTTCATGATAGTTTGCTTTTTTTGCTTTAAAAAGCAATCAATCTTTAGTCTCTTTTTACGGGGAATTTATGGTCTTTTGCTTAATTTAAAGAAAGAAGTTGGTAATTTGAGAAAAATCGGCTTTAAAAGCAATCCTTTAAAAGCAATCCTTTAAAAGCAATCCTTTAAAAGCAATCCTTTAAAAGCAATTCTTTAAAAGCAATCCTTTTTTGGTGATTGATTGGTAAAGACAAAGAAATCAATGAAAATCAAGAAAAAACTCGAGAATTGTTTGAATTGAGGGTGCAAAATTTGGTTTTTTTTTTTGAGAGCTTCAAGTAAAGAACAAACAACTAAAAGAAGAATATGCTGAGAAATTGAGGGAAAAAATTTGGGGTAAATCTTTTAGGAGATTTCGATTCAAAAATTGAATTGAATAAAAGTGTTTTTATTTGTTTAGAATGATTGAAATGGTGTTTTAAAAAGAGGAATCCATAAACACGAAGAGTTGTATAGTAGGCGAGTTTCAAAGAAAACGATTGTTCAGCCACGATCGGATCTTTTTGCTTTCGCTCATTGAACAGATGGTTGACCATTTGCTTTTTTTTTCAGACTTCTCTCAAAAAAACACAAAGAAATGCTTTGATTCAAGAAAGAGTTTGACTTTGACTTTGACTTTGGAAAGTACGATTGAAAGTACGACTGGAAAGTACTATTGAAAGTACAAAATTGAAAGTACGACTGGAAAGTACTATTGAAGGATTTTGAGTGTTGATTTTTGAGGAAATCCGAGTCAAATCAAATCCGCTTAATAGATCGGAGTGAATTTAAACCAAATCAAATGATCTTCATTTTTCTCTTGGATTTGTTCTCTTTAAACAGCTATGATAGTTTTGAATCAAAGCTGTTATAGCTGAAATCTCCACCTCTTACAGAAATCTTTTCTTTTTTAAAGAAAAACAAAAACTTCTTGGAGGTATGGGGAATTGAACCCCAGACCTCTCGCATGCTAAGCGAGCGCTCTACCACTGAGCTATACCCCCAACTGGACGGGCGGTGATGGGAAGGGGATCAAAAGGGTTTCGGTGATGAAATGAGGCAATTGAATCAAATGGAATTGAATCTATTTGCATTTAAATTTCTTATAAATATTGACACTTTATTTACTTTTTTGAAAACGTTTTTTTTCATTTTAAAATCATTTTAGAATCATTTTAGAATCATTTTAAACCATTTAAAATCATTTAAAACCATTTAAAATCATTTAAAATCATTTAAAATCATTTAAAATCATTTAAAACCATTTAAAACCATTTAAAATCATTTAAAATCATTTAAAACCATTTAAAATCATTTTAAACCATTTAAAACCATTTTAAACCATTTAAAATCATTTAAAATCATTTAAAACCATTTAAAACCATTTAAAACCATTTAAAACCATTTAAAACCATTTAAAACCATTTAAAACCATTTAAAATCATTTAAAATCATTTAAAATCATTTAAAATCATTTAAAATCATTTAAAATCATTTAAAATCATTTAAAATCATTTAAAATGTGAAGAAATTCGAGGCCAATATTGAACGGAAAGCCGTTTTTAGTCCTAGTCCCAAAGCTTTTTACTCATACGTCTATTCTAAGATTAACCCAAACCACGATTCCTCTATTAAATGTATATTTGACCCCCTTCGCAACTCGTTGATTTTCGAAAATCACAAAATTGCTAATTCCTTTGCTCAATATTTCTCCAGCGTTTTTGTAGTTGACGATGGTAGTTGCATACCTGTTCTTCCCGCCCCAGCACATACTTGCGCAGCCCTAATCGTCACACCAAGACTTGTCGAAACAGCAATTAGTAAGCTTAGCAATAAGATTTCTTACACCCCAGACGGAATTCCCTCTTTTGTTATACGGAAAACTAAGTTTCAAATATCACCACTACTTGCTAAACTTTTTAATCTGTCACTTCTAACTGCTAAGATCCCTAAATTTTGGAAAGACTCAACGATTTCGCCACTTTTTAAGAAAGGAGATCGGAACGCGCTCGCAAATTATAGACCCATCGCGCTCACCTCCTCCATTTGTAAAGTCTTAGAAATAATTATTCGCGACCACATTATTCACTATCTAAATGAACATAATCTAATTGATAAAAATCAATTCGGCTTTCTCAAAAACCGCTCTACCTCCGACCAGCTAGTTCTCTGTGCGCATGACTGGCTTCTAGCTAAAGCCAAAAACGATCAAACTAGCTGCGTTTTCATTGATTTCTCCAAAGCGTTCGATTCTGTTAATCATAGATTTTTAATCGCCAAACTAAATTCACTAGGTCTCCCCATATCCATCACTAATTGGATTGCAAATTGGCTTACCGAAAGGACATTTCGCGTCCGCTTAGGCTCTACTTTTTCGAAGGACTTCCCCATTAGTAGCGGAGTGCCCCAAGGGAGCGTTCTTGGTCCTCTTCTTTTCCTTATTTATATTAATGACATTAACAGTTCGATCTCCCTAGGCACAAAAGTCCGACTCTACGCCGATGATCTTAAAATTTATAGGGTACTTCCGTCCCAGAGCCCCATCCCTGATTTTACCCTTCTCCAGAAGGATCTTGATTCGATCCTTCTGTGGAGTAAATCCTGGAAACTTAACATTGCGCCGGACAAATGCAAACACGTTACATTTGGTTCATTACATATCCCTTTAAATTTGGGGGACCTACAATTACCACAAGGATTGGCCGATGATCCTGTAAAAGACCTTGGTATACTGTTAGTTCCCTCTCTAAAATTTGATCCTCACATAAACTACATTTCCAAAAAAGCTTCTAGAATTTCTAACATAATACTTCGCGCCATTTGTTTCCCTAAAATCGCGACTTATCGCAGGGCTTTTATAACCTATTGCCGGCCTTTGCTCGAGTATGCCACCATCGTATGGTCACCTTCCATTAAGAAACTTATCACCTTGGTTGAAAATGTACAACGGCGTTTCACTAAAAAAGCATACACTCGTTGTTTCCCTTCTTCTCTTATTCCAAATTATGAGACTAGACTTATAGTTTTTGATTTAAAACCCCTTTTATATCGCCGTATTTACTTTGATCTGATTTTCTGCTATAAAATCCTTTTCCACCCTAAGGCGCATCCGGAATTTCAAAGTCTCTTGAAAATTGTGGAAAGTCCTAGAAGAACCCGTAGTCATCCTTATCAAATTTCGCTCGGTTCTCATCCCCACCACCTTTCCCTTTATCATTCTTTCGCGAACCGTATTAGTAGGGTTTGGAATAAGCTCCCGCCTGGTATCTTCTCGTCTGTAGGAAAATTCAAAGTATCTGTAAACGAATTAGATCTAATTGCCATGTCAAATCTGCCTTATATTTAATCTTTTTGTACCTGTTTTTCCTGACTATCGTCTTACTGTATCTCTAGGTTTCTTTCTTTTTTGTGAAAGTATTGTAGCAATTATATGCGGTTATGATTATCTGATTCGCTTCTATTCGCCCTCCTGAATAAAGCATATATATATAAAAATCATTTAAAAGCATTTAAAAGCATTTAAAATCATTTAAAATCATTTAAAATCATTTAAAATCATTTAAAATCATTTTTTTTTTATCCAATAGTTATAAATGGTTTATTCAGTTGAATAGCGATAAAACAAGATCACAATAATCACCCAGGACACAACAACGAAAAAAGATAAAAAGAAAAGAAGAAAGAATCAAAAAGCGGTCAAATGAATAGGCCAAAATTGCGGCTTTTAAGCTCAATTCTAGGGTTGAAAAGCGATTTTCTCAGATTTCAAATGAGGCTTTAACTTGGATAAGCTTTCCGTTTCGAGATTTCATTTCGTTAATGTTAATGAGCTGTTTTAATCGTTTTAAATTTGTCTATATTTTAAATGCCATAAAGAATTGAATATCTATGATAAAGAATGATTTTTAATTAGCGAAAAACAAAAAAACATTTATTCTATTCATAATTTCTTTATTTTATTTTCTTTTGAAGAATTTTCTCATTCATTATTTACCGTATTCTCTCTAATATTAATGCATTTAAAGCTTTGCCTAAATTCCTCGAAATCTTGAGAACCGTTTATCAGAACCTATTGATTTGCGGTCGGAAAATGTAGCTAACGATGAGATCTAGTGAGGGATTTGAGTGTTGAGTTTCTGTGAAAGCTTGGAGACCCGAAAATCGTCATCAACTGGACTGTTGGTGGCTAAAGTGTGATGTTGCCTTATCTTACCAGCGTGATTGAACCCTCGACCTTCCGCTGAAGAGACAAGACTCCATAACCGGTCGGCCAGCCGCTCAAGTACCGTATTCTCTCTAATAGTAGTGCACCTAAAGCTCTGCCTAAATTCCTCGAAATCTCGAGAACCGCTTATCAGAACATATCGATGTGAGATCGGAAAATGTAGCTAACAATGAGATCTTAAGGGGGATTTGAGTATTGAGCTTCTGTGAAAGCTTGGAAACCCGAAAATCGTCATCAACTGCACTACTATCAGAGAGAATACGCTAATTCCTTTCTTTTGCCTTATCCTACTGCTTTTTTTTTATATCTAATCGATAAAATAATATTTTTTTAATAAAATTTACATAAATTTTCTTTATAAATACTTTATTTTTATATATTAGGTTGATGCAAAAGTCTTTTTCATTTTTTTCGTACTTCCGTTAAAAAGTAACAAATGCACCAATTGAACAACGGTTTATTGCATTCGAAAGGCCAATTATTTTTCTGCAAAATGACATTAAACGAGTTTAAAATGTCTTATGCAGATTTTTTTGAGAGCCTGAAGTCGGGTAGTCAAAAAAGGCGACGGCTCGATGATGCATTTTAGACGCTTTAGCTAAGGAAACCAATCTTGATGTTAATAAATAAAAGATAGAGCACAAAAAGTTCGATATTTTTACAGATTTTCAGAGAAATTGATTCAGCCAATTTGTTTATAGAGGTTTTTATAGATTTATTATGAAAAAACCCGTTTTCACTCTCGAATTTGCTTGAAAGTGAACCCAAATTGACATAAAAAGATGGGAAATTGAACAATAAACACTTTTCATTTAGAGCAAACCATAGGTTAATTGATGACTTTGTTATTTTTCAAAAAAAGTACGAAAAAAATGAAAAAGACTTTTGCATCAACCTAATAAAAAAGCATTTTTTTGTTTTTTATTTATGAGATTGATTCCTCTTGTTTTAGCTGAATGTATCCCACAGAGAAATTGCTTGAAATTGCTCGAAATTGCTTGTTTCAAGCTCGCCCGCTAGCGGATTGTCGAACTCTCCATCACACCGAAATTCTCGTTCAACACAAGCCGAAGGATTAAACTGAAAGTAAGGTTTATATTTGATTGAATGCAAAGTGAAAAGTGAAAAGTTTAGCTTTCTTTTAGAAAGACTATATCGCCAGAATACCGTAATCTTGTCTTTTTTTAAGCGAATATCGAGCATAGGTTTTTATTTTTTAGAATAATTGTGACTGAATGAATGCTCTGCACAAATTTAAGTTGATAGAAAGATTGAATTTACTCAAATTTGCTTAAATTTGCTTAAATTTACTCAAACTTGCTCAAATTTGTTCAAATTTTCTCAAATTTGCTTAAACATTTCTTAAATTTGATAATATTTTCTCTAATACTAGTACACCAAGAGCGTCGTCTAAATTCCTCGAAATCTCGAGAACCGCTTATGAGAACATATCGATGTGAGATCGGAAAATGTAGCTAACAATGAGATCTTAAGGGGGATTTGAGTATTGAGCTTCTGTGAAAGCTTGGAAACCCGAAAATCGTCATCAACTCGGCATTGTCGCATCGTTGTGGTGCACTATTAGAGAAACTATTAGAGAAACTATTAGAGAAACTATTAGAGAAACTATTAGAGAAACTATTAGAGAAACTATTAGAGAAACTATTAGAGAAACTATTAGAGAAAATATTAGAGAAACTATTAGAGAAAATATGGTATTCATCATCATCATCATCATCATTTGTTTTTTAAAGAAGCTTTTAAAGCTCAAAAGCTCAAAGCTCAAAAGCTCAAAGCTTTTAAAGAAGCTCAAAGGTTTTAAAGAAGCTCAAAGCTTTTAAAGCTCAAAGCTTTTAAAGAAGCTCAAAGGTTTTAAAGAAGCTCAAAGCTTTTAAAGAAGCTCAAAGGTTTTAAAGAAGCTCAAAGCTTTTAAAGAAGCTCAAAGCTTTTAAAGAAGCTCAAAGCTTTTAAAGAAGCTCAAAGCTTTTAAAGAAGCTCAAAGCTTTTAAAGAACCTTAAAGCTTTTAAAGAACCTTAAAGCTTTTAAAGAAGCTCAAAGCTTTTAAAGAAGCTCAAAGCTTTTAAAGAAGCTCAAAGCTTTTAAAGAAGCTCAAAGCTTTTAAAGATCAAAGCTTTTAAAGATCAAAGCTTTTAAAGCTCGAAAGCTTTTAAAGCTCGAAAGCTTGGGAATATTATTTGATAAAATGAAACTCAAAATTGAGATCTTTTACACACACGTTTCATTGTTTTCACTATTTCTTCCGTTTTTCTTTTTTTATTATAACAAAAATGTGTAATGTTTTCTCTTTTTTTTTGCTTTTTTAAATCCGATATCAGACTTTCTTTTGCTTAGAAATTTTTGCATTTTCACATTTCTCACATCATTTTCAACTTAACCAGACCAGTTTTTTTGTCATTTTATTAGCTACTTTTGTTTTTTAAAGTTATTTTTAAGTCCACATCATACCCTGTGATTGATTTATCGAATCTTTTTAATTAATTTGAATTTGAATCTTAATTTGAACAACATAAAAACTAATGTTTAATGATTTTTCGTAAAAATAGATGTATTTTAATCAAAAAAAAAGCTCAAACCAGCTTTAAATCTAACTGTTTTTGAATCTCTTGTTATTTAAAATGAAAATTCTTGTCTTTGTTTTGTTAAAAATCAAAATTTATACCTAATTTTGAAAGAAAAAGACTTAAAAATGCTGAAAATAACTTAAAAAGCTTTCTTAAAAAGATTTTTAATAAGAAAATGGTTTAAGAAGGGTTTAAGAAGGCTTTAAGAAAGCTTTTGAAGGGCTTTTGAAGAGCTTTTGAAGGGCTTTTTAAGAGCTATTTAAGAAGACTTTAAGAAAGCTTTTGAAGGGCTTTTGAAGGGCTTTTGAAGGGCTTTTTAAGAGCTATTTAAGAAGGCTTTAAGAAAGCTTTAAGAAGGCTTTAAGAAAGCTTTAAGAAGACTTGAAGAAAGCTTTAAGAAAGCTTTTTAAGAGCTCTTTAACAGCTTTTTAAGAAAGCTTTTTAAGAAGGCTTTTCAGGAAAGCTTTTTAAGAAAAGCTTTTTAAGGAAGCTTTAAGAAAGCTTTAAGAGAAGCTTTCTTAAAGCTTTCTTAAGTATTTCATAAGAAAATGAATGAAGAGATTTGGGGTGAAGAGAGTGATCGGTGTAATGTGTGGATCGGGGAGAGGAGAGAGGAGAGAGGAGCTGGGGATGAGTCGTGTCAAAGACAGTTGTCCACTCTTGTCGCCCAGACTTACCTCAGCTCAATTCCCCTGTTTACCATAAAAACTCTTTGTTACTCGTTTAAAGAGAGATTTCCCCTTGCTTTGTTAGATCTGTTAAACGCTTAAAGATCAATTTAATCAAACTTAAACTTTCCATTCAACTTTATCATTATCAGAGATCTTTGTTTATAAATTTTATTGTATTTACTCTAATAGAAGAGAATGCTTTTCTATTATTATTATTCTTGCTTTTCAAGGCTCTATCCAATTCAGCAATCATTTCTAGCTTAAAAGCATCTTTAGAAATGATAAGATTCACAAATTCCAGCGACAGCTTTTGACAAATCAATTGCAAAGCTCTCATCAACCTCTCAACCTCTTCTCAAACCATCCAATTCAAATGATAAGATCCTATTCAAGCTTTGGAAACGATAAGATTGTTATTCAAGCTTTCTCAAGCATTAACTACCAAATAAGTGCTTAATAGGGAAGCTTTTACGTTTCCACATTTGATCAAATCTTTATTTTCATTCAGTTTTCTTTTGAATTCTTTTGAATTCGATTTCAAGTCACGAATTTGAGCAAAACAAAGCGGCAAATCAATCTCAAAGCTTGATAAAACAAGCTCAAAGCTTGACAAGTCAATCTCAAAGCAAAGCAATCTCAGAGCTTGGCAAGTCAATCTCAGAGCTTGACAAGTCAATCTCAGAGCTTGACAAGTCAATCTCAGAGCTTGACAAGTCAATCTCAAAGCTTGACAAGTCAATCTCAAAGCTTGACAAGTCAATCTCAAAGCAAAGCAATCTCAGAGCTTGGCAAGTCAATCTCAGAGCTTGACAAGTCAATCTCAAAGCAAATCAAGCTCAAAGCTCGGCAAATGAACCTCATAGCTTGACAAATGAATCTCAAACCTCTCATCAACTCAAGCCATCCAAAAGAGTTGATATCATTTCACAAATTCTTCACTTTCTCTTGTATTTCAACAATTCGACAAACTTAAGATTGATTGCTAATTGTTCATCAGCTTTCCCCTCCTCTTTCACTAACAATTCCCCAAGCTTTCCCAAGCTTTCCCAATCTTCTCTTCAATTCATCAAATTTTATTCAAATTTCTTCAACTTTTCAGCCCTCAACGAGTGATGTGATGCATTTGAGGCTAATTTTTCTCTTTTCCACGTTTATCTCAGTGTTGAAAGGAGATGAGCTCCCGCTAGCACCATACAATGTCAAAGTAAATGATTGAAAACATAAAAAAACTCTATGCTTTTCAAATTCAAAGTGTTTCAAGTCAAATTTTTAGCTTTTCTGTCGAACGGGTGAACGAAATGTTTCAACGAAAGGTTTAAGTCCGCCAATTGAATGCCCATCATCGTCATCATCTTGTGGATATCTTGAATTCGAAACGAAAGATCCACGATTCTCGAAAAATGCTGGAAAGGTAGAGTTTCTTTATCTAGCCGCTTTATCTAGCTGTCTTTTTGCCTAACGAATTATTGCCTCCATGGCCGAGTGGCTAAGAGCATCGTTTCATAGTCAAGAGATCAAGGGTTCAATCCCGAGGCTTTTTTTTGCTTTATTTTCTCTCACCAATTTCTTCTATAGGTCGGACTTTTCGAGTGTGTTGATTCAGGGATTCTACACCAGGAAAACGATGAATACGATGATGATAAAGAAACAGAGGTGAGTGCTGGAGAGAAAAAGGAAATATAAAGCTTGTAACTGTAACAAATTGGTTTTAAACTAATGGGCTCGTTTATGAAATTCGATTTTAAATCAGTGCAAAGCCAATCTAGAAAGCTAGTTATGATTTGTTGAAGGCTTTCAGCTTTTAGCCAATCTAGGAAGCTAGTTATGATCTGTAGAAGTCTATGAGCTTCCAGCCAACTTAGAAAGCTAGTTATGATCTGTAGAAGTCTATGAGCTTTCAGCCAATCTAGGAAGCTAGTTATGATCTGTAGAAGTCTATGAGCTTTCAGCCAATCTAGGAAGCTAGTTATGATCTGTAGAAGTCTATGAGCTTTCAGCCAATCTAGGAAGCTAGTTATGATCTGTAGAAGTCTATGAGCTTCCAGCCAACTTAGAAAGCTAGTTATGATCTGTAGAAGTCTATGAGCTTTCAGCCAATCTAGGAAGCTAGTTATGATCTGTAGAAGTCTATGAGCTTTCAGCCAATCTAGGAAGCTAGTTATGATCTGTAGAAGTCTATGAGCTTTCAGCCAATCTAGGAAGCTAGTTATGATCTGTAGAAGTCTATGAGCTTTCAGCCAACCTAGAAAGCTAGTTATGATTTCTTGAAGTCATTCAGCTTCCAGCCAATCTAGAAAGCCAATTACGATTTGTCCAAGTCATTCAGCTTTCAACAATCGAGACTAAACACTTTCAATTAGATATTTTTTTGCTTTTTAAAACTAATTCAAATCAAAAGCGATTATTTAATCTTTTTTAGAGTATTTTTGGAGAGATTTGTGGTCCAATTCCGCGCTGTTCGCTTCTCCATTTGCGAGCGTTTAACCCAAATTTTCTCAAATACGTGATCGCATCGCAAAACATTCAACTAAAGATGATTGCCAAGCCGACAGTGAAGTTTGTTTTGAAATCAAAAACGTTTCATTGATCGATTCGCATGAGAATTTTTCAGATTCTGTTGTGCTCTTTATCATTCAACGTTGAGTCGACTTGTCAATTCAGGAAATGATCAACTTCGTCAGTGATTTTTAACCATTTTTAACTATTTTTTTCGACTTTCTCACACAATTATCCATTCATTTTCTAGAAAAAATCAAAAATTAATTAATTTCATCAATCCTTTAGCAATGAAATTCACTTTTAAATGACTTTTATAAAGACTAATTTATAAAATAGATAAAAGCGATGATTTCCCCTTTTAAAAAGCAAATAAATGTATTTAGGTATAGATTTTTGTTATCTAAAAGTGTTATTTCTTTAGATTTTTTTTGTTTTTAATCAGATTTTTCTTAAGTCTTTAATAAGTTTACAGAAAAATTTGGTGTAGAAGAAAAGAAAAGAAAAGCTTGGCTTGGCTTGCTCTGGCTTGGCTTAGCCTGGCCTCGTTTGGTTTGGCTTGGCCTGGCTTGGCCTGGTTTGGCCTGGCTTGGCTTGGCCTGGATTGGTCTGGCTTGGTTTGGCTTGGCTTGGCTTGGATTGGTCTGGCTTGGTCTGGCTTGGTCTGGCTTGGCCTGGCTTGGCCTGGCTTGGCCTGGCTTGGCTTGGTCTGGCTTGGTTTGGCTTGGTTTGGCTTGGCTTGGCTTGGCTTAGCCTGGCTTGGCCTGGCTTGGCCTGGCTGGGCCTAGCTTGGCCTAGCTTGGCTTAGCCTGGCTTGGCCTAGCTTGGCCTAGCTTGGCTTAGCCTGGCTTGGCCTGGCTTGGTCTGGCTTGGTCTGGCTTGGTCTGGCTTGGTCTGGCTTGGTCTGGCTTGGTTTGGCCTGTCTTTTAATCTGATTTTTCTTAAATCTTTAATAAGTTTAAGGGAAAATTTGCTGTAGAAGAGAAGAAAAGAAAAGAAAGGAAAAAAAAGAAAGCAAAGCAAAGTATTATGAAAAGATTATCAAAAGGAAATTGTTGAAGTGAATTTGAATTGGGAAAAGAAAACAAATAAGAGAGTTATTTTTGAGGGGATCAATGAAAATGAAACTTTTCAGCTTCAATCACAGCTCCAGCAGTGCATTGCGGTGATTTAGAGTGTGGACAAGGGGCAATTGGATGCCTTCTTCATTCAAGATACGGCAAAAAAGGGGAATTTGATGGAAAACGAGGTAAAAACGGTAGAGATTGAAGAAAATAAAGAGAAAAAATGTGGCACTTAGTGCATTGAAAAGGTTTTTGTTAAGGGAAAAGCATAAAGAATGCTTGAAGAGAAGAGGCTTTTTGGAGAATGGCTATAGCTGGTTTATCTAGTTATCTGATAAGTAGATATAGCTCTATCTTATCGATTTAAGATCTCTGGACAAGCTAGTTATCTGCTCTAGTTATCTGCTCTAGCTATCTGATAATCATCTATAGATCTATTTTATCGATTTAAGATCTCTGGACAAGCTAGTTATCTATTAAAACATGAAAAATAACAATTCTTAAATCACAGAGCGATTGGCGAAAGAAAAAATGGAAATGGAGAAAGACGAGGAATCTTTTGAGGAATATGAGGTGGATGAGGAGGAATTGGTGGTCGGTTTTTAAGAATTCAAATTTAATGCATCAGATGGCTATTGTAGAACTATAGATCTATAATTTCTATCTATAAATCCATCAATAAATCTATGGATTATGGATTTAAGAAGTTCTCTGGACAAGCTAACTCGTTTCTAGATCCCATCCGGCTCACAGAGTCGCCTCTTCACTAACAGAGTGATCACTGGATCAAGAAAAAGACGGTCGGTTTTGATAGAAATCGATTAGAATATAGAAAAGTGTTATAGTTGGATAAGAGAAGGTATTTTAGAGCTGTGCAAGATGACTATGAGGATCAAATTAAAGCTGTTGAGATTTCATTTGGTGAAGATGAGGGTTGGGTTTTGAGTTAAATGATGAATTAAATGATGGAGATTGAATTAAATAAAATTTGATACAATTAGATACGATCTAATTGATCATTGATCTAAATTTAGATACGTATTTGAAAGGAATGGATGTGATTGAGTATGAGGAAGTGCGTGAAGAAGAATCCAAGCCGGCTAGAAAAAAGGAAGTGATTTTGTTGAGGAGTGGAGGACCGGGTGAGTGAAATTGTTTGTTTTTTAGATGTTTTAATGAATTTGTAGAGATCTAGATAAAGATCTAGATCTTTATCTAGCGCTTTATCTATCTCTATCTAGGTCCCAGATCAACTCCTGTACCGTAATCTATCTCTATCTAGGTCCCAGATCAACTGCTTTACCCTATACGTCGATTGAATCGCTCGAGGATGAGAATGAAAATGACGGGACGCATCATTGCGTTTATCGGTTGGATTTCAAGAGTTTCTTTTTCATTTTTCTTTTAGCCAAATCAATTTTACTAAACTTTTAGCCATTTAAACGATGAGCGTTATCGGTATTGCTTGTTGATTCACTCAGAGAAAGACGGTGATCGATGCTACGAGCACAAAGGGCACTCGATTTGTTGCTGTTTTGTGCCGCCTGGTCAGCTTTTTCTTAACGAATTTTTTCATAGAAAGCCGGCTACGTATCTGATGAAACAAATTATTTCAAAAATCGTTTCAAAATTTAGACCAGAACACATGTGATCCAACGGATTTGGACCTAGTTGTGCCGGCTCCATCACTTGCGCCGAAGAAGAGGATTACGGTAGGTGATTGAACTGGGATAGATGCTGTCATTGAATTGGGGTTCTATATTTTCCTATATCTCTAGAAGGATTTTTGAAAATCCTGTTCTAGAAGATTGTCGTTTTTTTCATGCAAGCATGCAGGAATTGTAGAGATTACTTGCTGAATGATTTTACTGAATGGTTTACTAGATGATTTGCTAGATGATTTGCTAGATGATTTGCTAGATGGGTGCTGGATGGTTTGCTGGATGATTTGCTAGATGCTTTGCTAGATGCTTTACTAGATGGTTTGCTAAATTGTTTGCTAGATGATTTGCTAGATGCTTTGCTAGATGATTGGCTGAATGATTTGCTAGATGATCTGCTGGATGATTTGCTGAATGATTTTCTTCCACGCATTCACAACCCAGCTCAAGTAGATGTCCATTAAAGGCTTTGAACCGCAAGATCAATCAATTTTGAAGAATCGAATTTTGAAAAACCAAAGTCGATCAAACCATTTTCACAAAATCGCTTTTCGTCTTGATGCTAATCGTTTTCCACTTCTTCTCCAACAGCTTTCAATCTGCTTTCAATCAAATCTGCAATCATTTCTCTCATTGTTTCCATTCAAATCGTTTTTCTTGAAATAGATCTTGCTGAAGCTCGGGTTGAGCTCTTTCGTTAAAATTGGAAGATCTCGAGTCATCATGTTTCGGTTAAACCGTAAAGAATTGAATTGAATTGAATTGAATAGCAAATAGGATTTCTCATCAAGTAATTCTAAGTTTCCCGATTTCCTACTGAATTTGCGCGGGAAATTTTTTGTTTTTCTGACAACTAGACCACAAAGAGAACAAATCGAAAAGGTGGATTTGTTCAAATGATTTAAATGATCCAAATCTAATTTTCATCTCTCTTGAGATGATGATTCGAGCTTTGGAGATAAATTATACTTATTGAAGGCTTATTAAAGGCTTATTGAAGGCTTCTAGAGAGCTTCAATAACAGTATTTATGAGATTTCAAATTTAGACTACCTTTGCGACCACTATCAAATCGGATATTGAATTGAAAGAGACAGCAAAGAGTGATGAAGGCTTTCTTGAGACACTCACAACAACCACAACAACCACAACCACATCACCACCACCAAGAGAACAAATCCCTGCAACAGAAGATCCGATCTTGGTCACGACTACATTATCCACGACAATGATGACAAAAAAGAGGAAAGGACGACCGAGGATCACTGTTAAAGCACCGTCGACAAGTCCAAACTTGAGAAATGGGTGAGTACTGGTGATATCATAGTTCTAAGGCTTCGGCTAGCCCAGTCTAGGTCACTGTTAGTCAAGTCAAGTTCAAGAGTCAAGCTCTGATCTTCAGAAGTTGATCTCAAAGCCAGAGTTAGAGCCAGACTTTGCACGGGATTCCTGTTCAATCTGTTTACTGTTTTACACTCTCTTTGTCTCACTATTAGGCTCACAAATCTAAGGATTATGTTCAATGCGAAGTCTAAATATCTATTCAAAACAATTATCATCTTATCAACTTTAGATTATCAATTAAAATTCTTCTTTTCCAGTTGCCGAATCGTTTACCCAGGTCCTCGAAGAAATGATGGTGTGCCGCGAACGCCAAAATTAATCTGCAATGGAGCTAAAAATAAAATCAACATAAAACTATTAATTATGATATTTATTTTCTTATTTTTAATATTTAAATAAAGTTATTGATTGAATAAATGAAAAGGGATTAATCAGAAATTGTTGTTGTTGTTCAGTTGTCATTAATAATTGTTGTTCAGTTGTCATTAATCATAGTTGCTCAGTTATCAGTAATCATTGTTGCTCAGTCATCATTAATCATTGTTGCTCAGTTATCAATAATCATAGTTGCTCAGTTATCAGTAATCATTGTTGCTCAGTTATCATTAAACATTGTCATTCAGTTATCACTAATCATTGTTATTCAGTTATCAATAATCATTGTTGCTCATTACTCACTAATCATTGTCATTCATTTATCACTAATCATTGTTTACAAAAGTGACATCAAAAATAAAGCTAATCATTGTTCGTCCCGAAGAGTAAACGGATATGGACTAGAATCTGGGTTAAAGAGAGTGAATCCTTTTGATATCCTGCCATCTCTAACACCCTGACAACTCAACTCAACTCTTGCAAAAGTTTAAGAGGAGAGTCCCTATGAAATGACCGATCTGAACTGCGTTTGCATAGACCCGGAAGATATGTATCTTTATTTATTTATCAAAAATTTGCTTTTATGTACTGGCAAATTATCTTGATAAAGAAACCATCCTGGATTCATCGAAGCAGTCGCAAATGGAAGTAGACATCTGTCCAAGATCTGAATATTAGGTTGGCGACATTGAAATTTCGTTTGCGTTTCTCTTTATGGATTTTAACACTGGAGATACTATTACCATCGCAATCTCTTCTGTTTTAAAGATATAATTATTGTGTTTTATTACGCGTTTTTTCTTGATTTCCAGTTGAAGAATTTTAATAAAAAAATCTTATAGATGCTAGACGACCTCAAAATATCGACTTCGCATTTGTTGCTGTACGATTTCAAACATGAAAAAACAGCAACTGAATCGCATGAATCACTTTGTAACGTATTTGAGAAAGATGTTAACACTGTTCATCAATGTCAAAACTGGTTCAAAAGATTTCGAAAGGGTGACGGAAGTCTGGAAGACCTGCGACGAAGACAAACAACGATTTGAAGCAGATCGAAAGTGATCCGAAAAAAACTACATGTGAACTTGCGGAATATTTTAATTGTGATCATAAAGCAACCGAAAACCATTTGCACGAATTGGGCAAGCTCAATAAAGCTGGAAAATGGATCCCACATTCACTAAGCGATGCAAGCAAAATCATCAGAGTTCTTTGTTCAGGAAATTTGCTTAGAATTTCCAAGAATAGTGGGCTTTGGGATGCAATTTTAACTTCTGATAAGAAATGGATTCATTATGACAATATTACAAGGATAAGACAATGGGTCGACCCGGGTGAAATTCCAAAGCCAATACTTAAACCCGATTTTCACGGAAAGGAAGTTATGCTGTCGGTTTGGTGGAATACCCGAGGCCTGGCTCATTTCGAAGTGTTAATTTCTGATCCGACTGTTGATGCAAATCTTTACGTTCAACAACTAGAACACGCGGACGCGGTTCTTCGCTCAAAAGGAATTGATCCGACAACGGCGCGATTGTTACAAGAAAATGCCTGTCCTCACGTGGCCAAAATTACGCAAGAGAAATTGGGCTGGGAACTTCTAGTTCATCCGCCGCATAGTCCAGATATTGCCCCGTCTGACTACCATTTCTTTCGAAGTATTCGCCATTCACTCGAAAGCCACAAGTTCCAGAACATTGACGACATCAAAAAATGGGTCTCTGCTTTCTTTCAATCAAAACCAGCACAATTCTTTCAAGAGAGTATCCGGAATTTGCGTCAAAGATAACAAAAATGTTATCGGTAACTGTGGGGAATCTATTGTTGATTAATTGTTTCTAGTTGATTTTTACGAATAAATTTTGTTGTTGCTCAAAAACGAAATTTCAATGTCGCCAACCTAATATATTGGCGGGAATCCATTGTTGACTTTACGAGGACAAGCGGACCTGTTGAACTTTTACACATCGCACCTAAAGAAATCACGTTGGGCTGAATAAAAGCGCCTGCGGACATTGGGAATAACTTTCAGACTTTAGGACCCGGTGGTGGCTGTTGCGCCGGCTCCGGCTCGTGGGAGTGGTCGTGGCCGCCGAGGCCGTGGTGGTGGCCGTGGGGTTGCACCCACCCGACCGAAGGTGCCCCCCCCACACACGATGTCGAAGCGACGCCGGAGAGGGTGCGCCGTCTGGCCCAGCTTTCGATCATTCTCACGGTTCGTTTCGCTTATAGACTTTCCACAATTTTGAATTTTCTAGCTCGTCGCCAACTTTTGTGGCCAATCGAGCACGTGGATCTGTCTGAGGGCGCTTTTTTTCGCTGTTGTGGGCATCAAATACGATACGACAAACGGGAGCCGAGTTCGACGTCAAGTGGAAAAGGCTAGTGTTCTTTATATCTTTAACTTTCTTTATATCTGCTTTTAGATACACATTTGGACGAGGGTGGAGCGTTTGCGCCGTCAGGATCCGGCGGGAAAACGCACGTTTATTCCTTCCCCCTTCGGCCACAAACTTAGCTTCGCCCGACTCGCACATCAATTGGAGAGCCCCATCGTCGAGACTTTGAATGGTATGTTTTCTCAATTTGCTTCCTTTTCTCATAGTTTTCTTTTAGGATGGCGTTTTATCTGCAAGGTGGCCAAAGCCATGTGTGAGCCTCTCAGGCTCACCATGGCCGAGGCTGTAGCCGAGCAGCGTGATCGCCTGGAAGCATGCAAGGAGCAGCTCGAGGTGGGTTTTCTTGTTGTCCACTTGCTCATATAAGTTTCATTTCAGGAAATCCTCAGCAGCGACGAGTTTTGGGCCGACTGTGAGACTTGGTTTGAGGACGGTGACGGCGGTTACATCCTCAACGTGCTTCACACCCAAGTGACAATGATGGAGGCTAAGATGGCAAGCCGTAAGTCTTTTTTATCTGTTAATAATCGGTTAGATAGTTAGTTCCTTCTCTATAGTTAGTTCTGTTCTCTATAGTTAGTTCCTTCTCTATAGTTAGTTCCTTCTCTATAGTTAGTTCCTTCTCTATAGTTAATTCCTTCTCTATAGTTAGTTCCTTCTCTATAGTTAATTCCTATAGCGATGCTGCTTGAAGCAAACGTCGATGCAAGGTCCAGCGGGAAATATTCTTGTTTGAAGTTTGCTTGAAAAGAATGGCTCCATCGTTCAACGTCAAATTCGGATCCTTCTTGAAAACTCCCGTAAGGAATCGGTCTTCATTCTTTGTTGTAATCCTCGGCCGTCCCTTTTTCCCACATCTGTGCACATTTCCAGACGCATTCTATTTTTGCCATAACAAGAGAAACTGTTGTGGGCGTACCACTAAGAGGCGTACCACTAAGAGGCGTACCACTAAGAGGCGTACCACTAAGAGGCGTACCACTAAGAGGCGTACCACTAAGAGGCGTACCACTAAGAGGCGTACCACTAAGAGGCGTACCACTAAGAGGCGTACCACTAAGAGGCGTACCACTAAGAGGCGTACCACTAAGAGGCGTACCACTAAGAGGCGTACCACCAAGAGGCGTACCACCAAGAGGCGTACCACCAAGAGGCGTACCACTAAGAGGCGTACCACTAAGAGGCGTACCACTAAGAGGCGTACCACTAAGAGGCGTACCACTAAGAGGCGTACCACTAAGAGGCGTACCACTAAGAGGCGTACCACCAAGAGGCGTACCACTAAGAGGCGTACCACTAAGAGGCGTACCACTAAGAGGCGTACCACTAAGAGGCGTACCACTAAGAGGCGTACCACTAAGAGGCGTACCACTAAGAGGCGAGCAACGTCTTGTCGTGACATCCCTTGTTTCCTTGCCTTGACGATCATTTCTTTATCCGGAGTTGACAAATACGCTCGTGGCAGCTAAAAAGAAATAAATTAGTACCAGTAAACAAGAAGCGAACGAAAATAATCAAAAATTTTTTCAAGTGACTTTTGCACCACGATTTTCAGGGGTGTTTTGACAATTATATTTTTTCTCGATGAATAAATTTTGTATAGCGACAGCGTTTGTGTAAATAAATTGTACATATATTTGTGTAGCTAAAACTATTAATAGCTTAAAGAGCGCCATGAACTTTATCAAAGAAAATCGATGTAAATTTTTAGAAAATTAAGTTTTAAAAGACTTTTGCACATGACTGTACCTTTGTGAATGCTCAGCTTTGATAATTTTCATTTTTTTTCACAGTGTGAGGTGATGTTTCGACTTTTAAAAGACTCAATTTTAGTTTATGACAATGTGTGACTGTTTGCTGATGATGGTTAAAGTGATCCGTACTGTCAAGTGGTCTGTTAGAGTTGTCTTTTCCTTAACTCTCTCTTTCAATCACAAAACTCTACCCTATCTCTTTCAATGTTTACTCAAAAGTCAACACTTTTGTCAACAATTTTCTCAAAAAGCTAACTTTTTTTTTCTTTTTTACTCAAACAAATGACAGTTTTTCTTTTGAAATTCTTTTATTTTCAGTTTAAATCATAATTAGGAATGAAAATTGCAAACTTTTGCATTAATTAGCGATTAGAATAGACAATTGTCGGCGAATTGGAGACAAATTCATCTCGAAAACTTTGCTCAAATTTTTGAGATTAATTTTTCCCTGATTTCTTAGTGAAATCAAGCAATTTCTATTATCATTTAAAAGCCTAAAATCTCCTCTATTCAACGGTATATAAAGCTAAGGAGAATCTAAGTTCTAGCCAAAGTTATGGACAAAGTTCTAGGCAAAGCTCTAGCCATAGTTCTTCGCTCTCAAACTGAAGACAAAGTCAAACTTCTGGCAAGCTCTTTTTAGTATCATTTAAAAGCCTCAAATCTCCTCTATTCAACAATATATAAAGCTAAGAATAATCTAAGTTCTAGACAAATTTATTGGCTTTTAAAGTTGTCTAGTTTAAAGTTTTCCCTCACGATTTCGCCAAGTTTTCTGTTGATGATTTGTTAATGATTTGTTATTGAAATCAAGCAATTTCTAGTATCATTTGAAAGCGTAAAATCTCTTCTATTCAACAATATATAAAGCTAAGAATAATCTAAGTGCAAGGCAAATTTCTTGTCAAAGTTGGCAAAGTTCTAGGCAAAGCTCTAGCCAAAGTTCTTTGCTCTCAAACTGAAGACAAAGTCAAAGTTCTGGCTATGCAAAACGGCTGTCCAGTTTTGGTTTTATTGAATTGTTTTCCGTATTTTGTTTATTTAGATATAACAAAAAACAATTTAGATATTTTTTGGCTTCTTCAATGAATTCCTTTTTATTTACTCAGCCCAGTCCAGTCCCATTTCTTGTGTTGTCTTTTTTTTTTTGTTTGTGCGCAAATTCTTTCAATCAATTTCTCAATTTCACTTTAAGAAAGAACGAAAGAAATCTTCGTAAAATATGTGGATTTGATCGATTTTTTTGTGGTGATTTCTTTGAAATGCCGGATTTCTTTTCGTTTTTCATCCTTTCCATTCTGTTTTCTGCTGTTGGAAGCTCCGAGGCCGAGTACCGATTGATACAAGATCTTAGAGTTGGGTGAGTTGATGGAAACACTTTGATAAGGTAGATAATAGCTTGATATTAGCTTGATAAACCCAGAAAAATGAATCTATACATAGATAAATGAATTCTAAAGAAAATTACAATGATTTGACTTGAAAACGACCCTAATCGATGGCTAGAAATGGCTAGAAATCACTATAAATTTCTTTAGCCTTAACTTTAAGCTTAACTTTAGCCTAGCCTCTAACCTTAATAATCTAAAGTTTCATTTAACACAAGCTGCTGGAGAAAAGCCAATTGAAATTCCTTATTTCAGTTATGATCAAGTCGAGCGGCCAGTAGCTGATCATAGCGATGCAGTGAATGTATCGATTCGAATTCTCCTTCAACAACTTGTTGATGTTGATGAGAGAAATCAAGTTGTAACGCTTGTCATTTGGACACAAATGGTTTGTAAAAGTTTAAACAAGTTGTCAGTGATTCGAAATTGTGCTAAAGTTAAACGAAAATCTTCTGAGAAGGAAACCAAAAAAACAAGCACAACACAAGCACCAGCTTGGACTTGTACTCGTACTTGTACTTGTACTTGGACTAGTACTTGTACTCGTACAGCTCCTTAGCACAGCTCCTTAGCACAGCTCCGTAGCACATCTCTTCAACAACTCAAAGATTTCTGAATTCGACTCGCAGTTTAGTGAAAAGACGATGCTAAACTCTTTTACAGACTTGGTACGATTACAAGATGAAATGGGATCCGAAAGAGTATGGAAATATTACAAAGTTACAGCTTCCGTCTGGCAGCTTGTGGAAGCCAGATGTGCTCTTGTTTAATACGTGGGTTTTATTTTATACAAGTACTAGTACCAGTACAAGTACATTATATTGAGCTACAGTACCTTTCCAGGCTTAGGCTTGACTTTACCGACTTTTCCAGGTTCAGATCTAGCCCAGATCTAGCCTTGAACTTGGCTTCTGGCCTGGCCTTGGGCTGTGATTAGGCTGGAGCAATTTACTGGCCTAGCCTGACCTAACTTTACTCTGAACCTGGCCTACAAAGATCCCTGCTTGAATCTGAATCTGGCTTCTGACCTGGATCTGGATCTGGATCTGAAGCTGGCTTCTGGCTCTGGATCTAGATCTGGCTTCTGGCCTGGATCTGGATCTGAGTCTGGCTTCTAGCCTGGATCTGGCTCTGGATCTGGCTCTGGATCTGGATCTGGATCTGGCCCGGCGTTTGGCCTGTTTCTGGACTACAGACACAAAAGGCTCTACAAGAGAAAAGATTGCTTTAGAGCCGACGAGCACTTCGATGCCTCGTTTCCTGTGAATATGGCTGTCAGCTCGAATGGAGAAGTCCTAATGGCTCCACCAAGTGTTGTTCGAATGAGTTGCACCTTTGATCTCACCTATTTCCCATTTGATGATCAAGTTTGCTATTTGAAGGTAAGCAAAAGAGGTGAAAAGGTACGCTTTAGAGCGGGATTTTGTGATTTTTTAAAAACTTGTAATAGAAACTCTAATCATTAAGATTCTAGTACGGTTCTTGGACATACACAGGTCGACAAGTGGATCTAACGATCGACAACAGTGGGTTAACCGATAAACATCAAATGGATTTGCTTTATTATGTGCCAAATGGGGAATGGGAGTTGTTGGGTGAGTTGAAGAAGAGATTTGTGAAGATTTGTGAAGATTTCTAAAGATTTGTAAAGTTGTAAAGGTCAAGAGTAGAGCTGAAGATCTCTAGTGTTTAGAATTAAATATTCTTAAAAGCCACACCATTCAGCTACACCAGCAGAGCGTGTTGCAAACGAGTTTCATGGGGAGAAGTACGTTGAGCTCTACTTTCGATTCCATATTAAAAGGCGGTAAGAGAAGAGGCGAGAAAAGAAATTTTAGAAAATGGCTCTAGCAATTTCGATATCAAAATATCTATTTCATAGCTTCATTAATCTTTTTAGCACTTTGTATTATGGCTTGAATTGGGTGGTGCCATCAGTGTTGATCTCTTTATCGAATGTTCTTGGTTTCACTTTGCCCACCGAGTGTGGCGAGAAGTTGACATTACGTAAGAGTTTTGTAACTTTTTAGTACTGTTTAGTACGTAGATAATTAGATAAAAAGCAGCGTTTAGAGATCACAAATCTCTTGGCAGTGTTGGTGTTTTTGGGAATGGTGAGCGAGATCATTCCTCCATCATCGGAGTCGATCCCGGTTGTAGGTGAGGATTGAAAAGGTTGCAGCTCTGAACATCTATTTGGGATAATGGGGATGATCTCTGAGTGCTCATTTAGAGGCTAAGCTGGCCAGGTATGGATCAAGGTACACTGGCTCAAGGTCTACTGAGCTACGGTACCCTGGGCTAAAGTACATTGGGTCAAGGTCCACTAGCTCAAGGTCCACTGGGTCAAGGTCCACTAGCTCAAGGTCCACTGGGTCAAGGTCCACTAGCTCAATGTCCACTAGCTCAAGGTCCACTGGGTCAAGGTCCACTAGCTCAAGGTCCACTGGGTCAAGGTCCACTAGCTCAAGGTCCCTAGCTCAAGGTCCACCCGGCCAAAGCTCACTGAGTCTAAGCGTCAAACCTGAGCTTGCACTGTTACTAGCTGTTTTTATGTTAAAAGTTAGAGCTTTTGATAGCTTTTTCTAGCTTTTTGTATCTTTTATATGAATATTGATGTTTGCAGTTGCTTTCTTCTCGGCTTCTCTGCTCCTCCTCGGTTTATCAGCTATTTGCACAGTCCTCATCATCAATGTGCACTTTAGAAACCCAAAAACGCACAAACTAAGCAATACAGTGAGTTCAAAAAGAAGACAGGCTTTACACTACTGTCCTAGGTGTTTAAATTGTGAAGAGTACTGCTTAAAAGGCTTAAAAAGCTGTAACTAGTCTGTACTGTGGGTGAAAACGAGTACTGAGTGGAGTACAGTACTCAGAAATGAATTAGAATGAAAAATTCAGATGCGAAACCTGTTTTTGGAGTGGTTACCTTGGCTACTTTTGATGACAAGACCGGGGAAAACTTTTGCGAAACCACGAAAGTATAAAACGGTGATTGATTCAAATTTCCCAGAGGGAAGTTTTCTCAGTGGAGAGGTCGGAGTTTAAAATTATAGAAAATTCATTGATTTATTCAAGTTTTCAATGCAAAAATCTTCATTAATGAACGAATCGGATCGAGATGACGAATGGAGAGAAAGAGGGAACGTAAATGAGATTGTAGAGAAGAGGAATTGTACGTTTCAATCTTTAGATAGATCATTCAGAAATAATTCATTTCTAAAAGATTCCTTAAACTCAATTCTCCATTTCATTTACTTCATTTTCATTTCATTTTCATCAACGAATTATAAAACTGCTTGAAAATAAGCTGAAAAATCGGGAATACAATAATTTGACTACCATTTAACTTTAAGATTTAACATCTAGAAAAGAAGAAAGCTTTAGTTTCAACTCAACGACCTCGTCTACTATCAATTGAAAGAGATTATGCCCCGTTGCAAGCAGAATTGAGAGAAATTATCATCTTAATGCAATCGTTTAAGGTAAGCAAGCTTTGATTACTGTAACCAGGGAAAACCTGGCTGACCTGGCTAGTCTAGAAGCTAGACTGGCAAGTTTCTTGCCAGTCAAAGCCTTCTGGCAAGGAACTTGTTCAGAAACTTGTCCAGAAACTCCAGAGCAAAGCCAGGCAAAGCAAAACAGTAAAGCAGCCAAAATCTTGAGTAAAGCAAGCTTCTAACAATGGAATTTCAAAGGAATCTGGTCCCTAATTGACCTTATTCAACTCGGAATTTCACGCTGAATCCGAATCTGTTTTCCGTTTTTATCTACTCTATCAAAAGTTATAGGCTCTCAAAGTTTTCGATTTCGAATATAACCAGAAAATCATAAAGTTTCCATTCTAATACCTCAAAAAGTTTGAGATCGGACTCGAACCAGGATCCCGACTCAACCAAACTCGACTGGCTTGGGCTGGCTTGGTCTGGCTTGGCTTGGCCTGTCTTTTAATCAACTCTAGAGTGCTGAAATTGTCTCAAAGGCTAGCAGGGTTTCTATCTTGCCATGTGCTTAATTGATAGAGAAATTGTTTGCAGGAAAAGCTGGACGAGGACGCAGTGGAAGAGGAGTGTCAAGCCGACTACAAGTACATTGCGATGTGCTTGGATCGAATGTTCCTTTTCGTTTTCTCGGCCGCCTACCTCTCGACGGTGACGGCGATGTTGATCGCGACGCCGAGAGTGCTCTCAACGAGTGCATGAGGATATTCAATACTTGAGATGACGTTGTCTATCGTTATCTACCGAAATTTCGGCTTAGCTTTGACATTGTGGCTTAAATGCGCCCAGATTTACCAGAGAATTCTGGATTGTATTGAGAATTTTGAGGCGAAAACGTATCCCATTTCGTGTTGCTCCTTGAAAAGCTTTTGTTTTCTTCGAATTGACAAAAAAAATCTTGCCATATCTTTGATTTTACAAATAATTTTGTGTATTTTTGCAGTTTTCAAATGATTCTTATAACAGTATCAAAAAAAAATGAAATGAAAAGGGGATTTTTATACAATCTGGAACGCACAGAGTCGATTTTCAGAAAAAAAAAAGCGGAAAAATTCGTATTTGAAAAAAAATCAGCATTCAAATGGTATTCAAACAAAATTTAGCAAATCCAATTACTTTTTATCTAGATTACGATAGCCTAGCAAAAGAAACATTAGATTTTGTCTTCTTTTGTTTTTCGTCAATCGAAAAAGATCGATTTTTGAGGTGAAAAAGTTCAAAGCGAAATCAATTGGCTTACTGTCACATTTGGCTCACATTTGCTGGCTTTATTATTAACTAATTTCACTTTTCTTAGTGGCTTACTCTGTCTCAGAATGATTCTTTAGATTTAACTGGTCGTTTAAAGCCATTGGCTCAAGGTCCACTGGTCCACAGTCAAGGTCCACTGGTCGACTTAACTAATTGCACCTCTCTTAGTGGCTTACTTGTCTCAGAATGATTCTTCAGATTTAACTAGTCGTTTAAAGCCTCTAGGTAACTCTAGGTACAATAGAAATTATAGAAAAAAACAAAAATTATAAAGTTTCTTTTATAACCATTTCACTCATTCTTGACGAGTTTCTCGTCGGAGTTGTTGAAAAAAAAATTTTTCCGAATTCTTACGAATCAAAGAGTTCTACTCGTGAGAAGAATCAACAACATTACAACCAAAGCGTTCAGCGGTCAACGAAAACGCTTTTTTTTCGAAAACGAAAACAGAAAGGCAAGCGATTAACGCTTTTTTTTACTTTGTTTTCCTTCAAATCGCACCTCATGCAAGCCGCGGAACCAATCTTGAGGCGATTTCTTGAGGAAATAGCCACCACCACTGTACGGCTCTAGAAAATCCCTGGCATGACCGCTTTTCGGCACTAGATAGAACTCTCGACCCTGAAAACTGCGCTTTCGTCCCACTTGTGAGAAGAATCGATAACATTACAATAGTTAAAAACGCGTAAAACCTTTTTGGTACTTGGACCTTCTTTGTATTCCAGGCTACCGTAAGACCTGTTTCGTATACGGTAGGCCATACGGTACTGTAGGTAATCGGAAACGAATCGGAAACGAATCGGAACCGAATAGGAACCAAATGTGAACCCAATCGGAGCCGGATCGGAACCGAATAGGAGCCGAATAGGAGCCGAATAGGAACCGAATGTGAACCGAATGCGAACCTGATCGGAACCGAATGAGAGCCTAATTGAACCCCAAATGAGAACCAAATCGGAACCGAATGCGAACCGTATCTATCTCATGACCAAATCCTGAACGCTTCTCAACTCACGCTGAGCCTTGGCAATCGAATTACAGTCAGCGATGAGGTCAACGTAGTGGACGGGCGCGTTGACGGTGTTTCCTCTGAAGAATCTGTTCAGTCCGTAATATTTGCATTTTTTCCTATCATTTTCACAATTCAACTCCACCGAACATCAAATTTACTCAAAATCGACTTCAAAATCACTCGCAATTCCGCCTAGATGTAGGCTTGTTGCTTGAGGAGAACCCCCGCCTTCACACCCGCATTCGCACAGTGAGGCTCGGATCTAAACTCTAAACTCTAAAGCAGTGCCATAGGACTCTAGCAATCTACTGGCAATCTACTGTAACAATATGAGCACTGTAGCCCATCCAGGAGTCAAAATAACCGACTTTTGCATATTTTGCTGTCTAGAGACGAGACTTGTCGTGATGATCTGCCTCGGAGAGTCAAACTCTCAAAGCTCCATCTTTTCCGATTGCGGAGACAAGACACAATCCCTCCTCGAGTCAATGTTCCGTCGAAAAATGTCGGATTTCTCCGTGAAACTAAAAAAAAGTCATTCAAATGAGATCGATATTGCGTGAAGGTTTCAGCAAATCGATCCTCCATCCTAAAAAGAACCGGGGGAAGTGGGGTTTTACCCATTACAACATCAAATAAATAATTTGCCTTTGCCATCTTTTCCGATCTTTTACGAACGTAGAAAGCGAAGAATTCTGTGGTTCCGGAATCTATATCATCCGTGTCTATGCATGATTCAAACATGTAGACACAATCCCTCCTCGAGTCAATGTTCCGTCAAAAATGTCTGATTTCTCCGTGAAACTAAAAAAAAGTCATTCAAATGAGATTGATATTGCGTGAAGGTTTCAGCAAATCGATCCTCCATCATAAAAAGAAAATTTAGTCCGATGAAAATATAAAAGACAAAAGTTAAAAACGTGAAAACTCCTAAACTTTGTTCGAAAGTATAACGCATGATTAACAAGTGGTAACTAGCAACGTACTATCGTTCAAAACATTTTGGGTCGAAATGGGAAAGTTGCCGATCCGTACTCGAACTGGGGGAATTGGGGTTTTATAATTTTGTAACATCAAAAAAATAATTTGCCTTTGACGACAAATTTCTAGAAAAAGCTACTTTCATTCACAATCGGCTACGACATTTAGATTGTTGGGTGACATCCAGTTTGCAAGGATGTGAAAAATTAAAAAAACAATTACAATTTCGGAAAAACCAGAGAATCGGAGTTTAAAGCTTCTAGACAAAATTCCAAACATTCTATCTCTAGATAACTCCGCCTGACTTCCAACTTCGTACTACGCAAACGCGTCAAAAAACATTCGAGTTTCCTCTTGAAAGCAAGAAAAGAGAATGCAAAAATCGCCGTATCTCCGGCTCCAAACCATTGGCAAATCTTTCCTTTCTTTTTATGGCCATGGGCAAATCTATTATTACCCATTAGCAAGCGAGGGTTTTGCCAGTTAGCTGAGTATCTTCAAGGAAGGATACTCAGCTAAAGATTTTGTAGAAAAGGCGCGAAATTTTCGGAATAGTCATTCATCCTACAAGCTCCTCCCGAGTGGGTGCCTATTTGATTTTCACTCTTTCCTGTTTTAACTATTTATAATGAAAACCCCTTATCAACTTGTTAATATTTTTTTTCCAGAGATGGTGCTGCTGACCCACCGTATTTCGGGTACAACGCGAGCTTAGCCACGACACGCCGGCCACTCCACCCCACTATATTCCACTATCGCCCATCACTCCTCGCCCATATCAACCGAATCGCAGAAGTTTGTGAGTTTGTTTTCGGGGTTTGGATCTAAATGTTTTTGCTTTTGTGAAGCTTTCTAAAATGGCCTGGAGGTGTTTTGTTGTTTCATTTTCCTTTTGTTTAGCCTCGGGCAGTTGCATTATTTTATACCTTTGATATTTATCTTGAAAAATGCGTCGAGTTTAGTTAAATCTTACCTGATCAACAGCTTCTCAAACTCTCCATTTTAAGCGACAGTGCTGAGCTGTGTATCGGTGCCGTGTAGAACCTCAAATCCGTCGGTACTGAGGATAGGCCTAAATTGATAGAATAATGAAACTCCCTGATGCTAAACAAAATGAAGTTAACGTATCGCATATTTTGTTTTGATCCGAAGGGGTAAGTTACAGTTTGAAATTTGCTAATTTTTGACCAAAAAAAGATTGAATTCTTCCGCGCTTTTCCGAAAAAGTGCATTCCTTTAGGTTAAAAAGCGTTGTGTATATGACTTGCCTATAGAGCGGGCAACTCAAAGCAAAAGAAAGCTGTGCAGAAGCAAAAGAAAGCTGTACAAAATCATAAGAAAGCTGTACAAAATCATAAGCATTTAGATCATAACCCTAAAACAAACTCACGAACTTCTGCGATTCGACGTTTAACCTGATATGGTCGATAGTGTGGTAGAGGGAAGTGGTCAGCGTATTGTGGCTGATCTCCCGTTGTACGAGGTTGTTGTCTTTATAGATAGCCATTAATGAGACTGATTACACTCACATCTAATAGCGTGAGCGGAAGTTTCTTTTCGCTTTTCACATTTTTGTGTTCTACGGTCAAAAATTGAAAAACTTATTTTTTCGGATTCATAGACTGCTTAAAATGGTTTTTAGTATCTTGATAGCTCCGGGTTGAAATTTTTCATGTTCATTCTGATTATGGTTAGTAAGCAGTAGTAGTTAACTTGAGATTGTTGAGAATCTTGTCTGCAGGGTGCGTCATAATTATTCATGATCACCGTGGAGGGTCTAGCTCAGTCAAATAATCACCGATTTTCACGAACATTTTACGAGGGAATTTGGAGCGGGGGCCGAAGGATTACCTAATCGATAGGAGTTACAATTTTTTTAAATGGGTTTTCAGCTTTCGGGGTCGGGCTCAACCTGGCACATAGTTTTGGGACTCATGCTGCCAGGCATAGTGTGACTCCCAACCTTGAGAGCTTGTTTAAAATATTTGTGAACTTCTATCGGTGAGATAATAGACACCGCTACAGGAGACCCACGGAAAATTTTTGTGGGAATCGTTTACCTTTTGAATGAGCTACATTAAAGTGATTATGATGAATTATGACACACCCTGTAAAAGCTTTTAATTCTAATTGCCGACTTGGTTTTGGAAATCGAATTGTTTTTTATGTACAGGTAGACGGACGCCAAACAAAATGTCGTTTGAAATGCGAAAGTTGACGTCATTCCCCATGCAGAAGCTATGCTATGACCTAGAACTGGAGGTCTTGGGGCAAATGAGGCCAGAAGATACGGTCGAATTGGTCAAGGTGAATGTAGGATTTCGATCGATTCTGCTGAGGACACCCTGGCTAGTTTTTGGACGTCACGTGCACCGGTTCCGCTCTTGGAATGAGTGGATTTGGATCGATCATCGTCCCCATGACTCCTGGCTCACGCTTAATGTCGCTCGCCACT